AAGAATCGAACCCGGAACTTGTGTGGTGGTGCTTGAACTGTAATAGGTTGTAGTCCGGCTCGCTGACCAACAGACCAGCGAGGTGGTGGTGGTCATGGTAACAAGCAAGTAATACGGCGTTTACCCAAATCAAGTTGGACCCCATCTTGCCCACGAATCGAAGGCTCACATGTGAATTCTTTTGAGACCTCACTTACTACGAGTATAGTTATAAGCTAAAAGTCCGTACTGCTAAATATATGTAGGTTTTACGTCCTAGTTAAAATACATATAATGTAATTGTATTCAATTGTAATTGTAATCAAACGTGAGTGTGAAGTTAACCCTGCACCCGCACTCGACGTCACAGCCTGTTTGTCTATCAAAGCAAATGACCTCGCCGATTCGAAACAAAGCCGAAATATCTGGTCACTTGCTGTCAAATGGCCACTGGAGCCTATATAGATCCCTCAACGTGAATTTGGCAACTGGAAAGATGAGGTGTAAGTTCCAATGGATAACGGCTTAATGTGTTTCATAATTATTAAATATAGATGTGTTTTAGAAGGTAGGCGGCGGCGTACACGTTGTGTCTAGGAACTCTGGTCCACCCATCAGCACCAATACCAAGAAAAAAAAACTTCCTACTGAATATACCGCAACTTTTTTACTCTATGAAAATTACCCTTCCAGTTGAGTGCTCTGAGGAATTGTTCGAGATGATACCGGCATCTCGTTTTTACCATCGCACCGCCCGCCACCGGAGTAGAGTTCATCCATACTACCTGGAGCCACTGCGGTCATCCACAGTGCGTTTCCAGAGATCTTTTTTGCCACGTACCATCCGGCTATGGAATGAGCTCCCCTCCACGGTGTTTCCCGAGCGCTATGACATGTCCTTCTTCAAACGAGGCTTGTGGAGAGTATTAAGCGGTAGACAGCGGCTTGGCTCTGCCCCTGGCATTGCTGAAGTCCATGGGCGACGGTGACCACTCACCATCAGGTGGGCCGTATGCTCGTCTGCCTACAAGGGCAATAAAAAAAAAAAAAGAAAAAAAAAGATAAATAAAAAAGCAACACACAAAGTAATGAACGCATTAAATTTAATATTTTCAAATAACCGGAGATGTCTTGTTTCTTGAAATGAATGATTAAGTAAGATTATCTTAAAAACAAGTCGATGATGTGATTTAAATTTATTAATCTGCCAGGAAACTATGTTTGTCCTTTCTTAATTGTTTTTTAGCTGTGACAAGTTCAATGACCGATAGGTCTACACCCACGCCGTCGTTAGACAAAGATACAAAAAGGGGATGTAGTGTAACAGAATGAGATACAAGACATCTGCATGGAACATGGAATGGAACAAAAAGCGCTGGATGTTTAGAATATCAATAAGCAGTATAGTGCATAGTGCCCAGCACAACTTGTATTAAGTATTTAAATTTATTTAAATACATTGCATACGTACTTAAAATACTCACAATTAAACTCTCAAAATTAAATTATGAATTAATTAATTAAAATTTAAAGTGTTTTGTAATTCTTTCACATTTCCTGATTAACGATGTAAACTTCTTTAACTGCTGATCTGATATAGGTAGTACATGCCAAATATATTACAAGATTTGTTTAAGAACGAGTTATATCCTTAACCTACGGTTTATTGATTGACAATGTTTGAGCCATCTCAAGAAGGCAAACCAGTATTGGAGCAAAAAAACATAACCTCTCAGCCACGTTACGAGAATTTATAAGTATAGGTATACGAGTATTTTAAGAACACAACAAAAAAAGTTTGTTGACGACAAGCGTTTTATGACGTCACAAATATCAGGTCAAAAGAGAAGATCAGCCAACATTGAGATTCTATTGATAATTATAGTGCATTAGATAATAATGACTTAGCTTTTAGCCCAGTCATAGATTACAAAAATACAACAGCGACGAATACAAAGAATATTTATTTAAAAAATTTTTATTAGGTATCTAAATAAGTCTTGGATTAATGTAATTTACACTTAAAATCTCTTTGTATATATGTACATATATAAAACTGAATAATGTGCTGCCCAATTTTAGAAACATTTTCAGCAGTGTATTAATTTATAGGTAAGAAAATGTGTTTTAAACTAATTCTTTTCTTTGTGTGCGGTGTAATATTGAAGTCTGTAAGAGTTTGGCGTGACATAAAAAGGTTGGGAGCCACTTTTCTACATAGACACCTCATTTTCTATTGTCTGATTGCCGCGATAATCGCTTTATAACACAGAGGGGTCGTGCTTTCCATTTACGACAAGCACAACAACAAAAATCGATTTCTTGTCTACAACTGAATAATATAAATTCAAATGTAATTATCCTCCAACAGATAGGTATAATCCAACACGAAAACTTGGTAAAAGGATCATTTTTACTTGTTATTACGTTAACAAACTGCTAATCCGTTTCAATTAGGTATACCTAAGTATTAGATCTAAGCCCCAACATGATCCTCTAATTAAGTATTGTGTACCTAGTGTGAAAATTTTGTATAAAAATAATCATTTACATGATTTCAGTGTGTTTCAATTTTGCTTTCATTATTTCCTCTTTCCGATAAGTGTCACAAAAAAAATACCAACGACCATATTTTTTTCAGAACCTGGCAACCTTGGAAGTTTTATTTTCGAGTGTTCTAGAGAACGAATTGCTTGAAATAATTTTATCATCTCTGGAGCAAAGTTAATCACTGTCTTAATCCGAAGTGAATTCTGGAGATCATTTTTCTAGTCGAAAATCCGGCTCTGGAATAAAATTTCCTCTTCGTCGCTTGCCAAGCGTTATGACAAGTATTTCATAAAAAAATGGAAGTGAGTTCTGAGTGGTAAGAATTGACCGGGCTCACTGATGTTCATGTGCGACTAGAATCACATACCAACATCCTACACTTTACTGCATCGCAAGGCTATAAGAACTTCTTTAAGCAACGCTACAAAATAAACTGTGACGCTAAGAAGACACAACGTAGCAATGCCTATATTTGTGAACGACGGTGACTGAGTGACATTTAGGTATAACCAGGTGAGCTGAAGCTTGCCTCCCTACGATAGCTTAAAACATGTTAGTAAAATTCACTTAAAAATAGTGAATTCTTGTTAGGTAGATACTTCAATGACAGTAATTTCGATTCGCTTTCAAAAGCATTTAAAAATAGAGGTACATAATATACGACAAGTGGGCCTGTTCGGTTGTTTATAATTCATTCTATCATTTTAAATGAATTTTCGGCGAGTTTAAAAACTAGAGTTCACACCCAATGATCGATACTCAACAATAATCGGGGACATCCATAGACTAAGATTCGTTTTAAATTTTCGGTCGGCTCGGTTCATTCGTTATTTATATTTCGGAAAAACAATCAATTTAGTTTTCTATTATTAGTAAATATTAAAACTTGTCAACGAAGTAGTAAAGAAACAAAAAGAAAACCATAAACAGAGGACAGATTGGTCCTAAGCTGCTCTAAGCTCCATGAATTTTTCACCCGATTTTCTCATAGGGTCGTGATGCCGATTCGGTAGTAGATGCGTTCGCAAAACAACTCACAAAAAAACTCTTTTGTGTTTTATGATAGAAAACTAAGCTATCAATTTACTAACTTTTATAGATGGCAGGCATTAAAAGTTACAAAAGCAAATAAACAAAAAAAAAACGTTCTCGATAGCGTTAAAGTTAACTCAATTTTGTACAGCGCTCCTATCGGCAAACGCAGGCGAACGATCCCATTCCATACAGATATAAGCTAACTTTTACGCTATCGAGAACGTTAAAAAACTCTCACTAAGCACACTTGTCTATGTTACGTTTGCCTATTTGTATACTTGGATTTCATTATATTTCATTAGGACAGTTCGTGGAAGGACCTCTATGCGTATTCATGAAATGAATACTTATTCTGAAATCGTTGCCACTTTCGTTCACACTTCAATCGTAATGTTGCGTTTGCAGAATTTACTACAAAAGTTTCAAATAGTTGAGTAGAGATGGCGCTAAAGCAAATTTTTGCTTATACCATACCCACATACCACCCATATTATACATACCCACATACTTTGCACCTACCCATGATTTGCAAAGAAATAAGTTACGTTACCTATTCATAATAAAACATATTTTCAGAATGATTCAAATGCATCGAAAGATAGCTAAATGGTATTAGGTTTTTAATAGAAATAATGAAAAATATTTCAAACGATTCGATTAACTAAAAAATGGGTACCTACATTTAGTTCAATAACAATAATAAAACCTCTTAATACTAGTGCTAGACTTAAGTACTTTGACTTAATGTAATCTAGATTTATCTATTATATATTTGTACAATTTTTGTAGCGCAAATAATTATAAGAAGTTAAACAAACATCATCAGTTTTAATGTTTTTATTTCTTAAGTACCTATTTACCTATGTAAGTAGGTATTTATTTATATCTTAAACTATAAAAATAAATTTACACGACATAAATAAAATAATTGTGAATCTTTCGTGTATAGGTACTAAACATTAATGAGGCTTTTTGTACATGATTAAACTATTAATAAATAGACTACATTAACATAATGTTTATAAATACTCCAACATTATTGTAGCCACACAAAATGATCTGCCTTCAAAGCACGCTCCGTCAGACAGAGAAGGAAGCAATAGAAATAATAATAATAGTGGTTGCTAATTTCGTCCCTCGCGCCCTTCGCGCCGTTCTTGGCAACCAGTTTTGTTTGTAGAACAGCCGTAAAACGGTATGACCAATGAGAGCGCCGGATTCGTAGCAGGCGTTCTATTGGCGACAGATGATAGAGAGCGTTACGGCCGGGGTAGTGCGGGGCATGGGTGCGGCGGCGTGCCGGTAGCTCGCTCAAGTCTAACTACACAGTCGTGTTTCGCCACTCGAAAAGAAGGTTATTGTTACAATGACACGGGCGCCGGACTATCGATAAAGTGTGTTTGTATGTCGTTTTCGTCGATAATAAGTGTTGTGTTTACTTTCACTCGTGCGAATGTTTCGATCCTTACCTTTTTGTTTGTTTTTTATTTCAATCATTGCCGCATGGGACGGCTTTTACGTTTCAGTTAACCTTTTATTTTGAAACGATGGAACGTTGTTCTTATGGTTTTTACACCAAAAGGTATTTTATGTTATTTTTTTACTTTTCGATTGCGATCTGGTGTGGGTGAGTGCGCCGCGTGTGGCTATACATGGCAAGCTAAGGTATTGATTCGTCACCATAGATCAAATAACAACTACAATTAAAAAATATACCCACATTGTAGTACCAACTTTTTTACCATACAAATAAGTTTGTTGACTTTTACTTTGTTGACTCGACAGGTATCACTCTAGATACTGTTTTGAATGTTTAAGGTAAAGACACCCCAAGGACAACAAAATTTAGGGATCGGTTAGTATTATTATTGCAACGCTTCGGGGAAAAGCCGACAATGTGAGGCCCTCGCACCCGAGGGTCGACAGCCGAGGGGAGGGAGGGCACCGCAGTCTGTCTGGCCTGCACACATGCAGAACCGGTTCGCGCTTAACTCCCCTAGTGGGTCTTGTTTGTCTCTTTCTTACTCGTGCCACACGTGTTCGCATGTAACAATCTCCCGCTCTCTTTCGCACGTTTTCATTATTTTTTTGCTTCCCCTTGTGAAATAATGCCAGTCGGATTGTTTTTACCATAGCATCGATTCCTGCATAGGTCGATAGCGTCATTTTACCCACACTTTAAGCCATAGAAGTATTTCTATGATAGGGACAATCAAACCACGAAAAATAACTAGGTACTATTCATTTAATTTCTGTAAAAAAGAAAGAAATAAGCAGTACTTATCTAATAATTAATCATCGAAAGCCATATTTAAATTTATATTTTTGCCTCTTATTTTATATTGTGATAAAGAATCCAAGTTTTACGATACCTATACCAATTAACTAACACATAGGTATCTACAATACTAAAATAAACCAAAATAGTCATCTTTATTTTCTTTTAAAACATTCCTGCGAATTTTTTGGAGAAATCACGTCACGGAATCATGTCACTGCAAATATGAATGTAATAAACCAGGCTTAACATATTTTCTGGATAAGTTTAAAGTTTTAAACAAAAATTTCAACGTTGCAAAAATAAGAATGTGCAAATAACTTTGAATACCTTTGTTTAAATACAAAACAATTACTTAACCTTTGTTTTGTAGACTCAATATAACAATTTCAAAGCTTCCTGAGGTTTGCTACTATAATTAATAAATAATAGTATGTACCTAGTTCAATTTTATGAACATTAATTAATTTCTTTAAAAGCTTTTCATTTACATACAACCTCTTGGATTATTTATTTATTTTTTAGTTAATCGAAAGTTTACTTCTTAGAACCAAATTCTATAATATGGTCATAGTTGGCAGGCTTTCTATTACGAAGGATTTTACTTTCGTTTTCATAGGTATTTATTATCACCCTGAGTACGAGAATTTACTTAAATGTAATAAAAATACTTCTTAGTGTAACAACAGCCGCTTTTTAGGACTTCCGTGTTATTTACTCGAGTCAGGTAAAAAGATCTATATTGTTATATGCAATTTTAGCGGATTATTTTGCTTGAAGACAAAACCTCATATTTAATTAAGTGTAGGTACGTACAGATTGGGGGGAATACAGACTAGAGTTAGAATAGGGACAAAATTCTGGGATGTCACAATACTTTTGTTGAGTTATTAGATTTAACTTTGTTGAACTGAAAATGACTTTTATTTAGTGTATAAGATTAATAAATAGGTTAATTTAGTCATCAAAGTTTTGTAAATCATTAAAGAAATTTAAAAAAAAAATTAGATACCTACCTAAAGTTAGGTACCTACCTAACAACTACATAGTGCCAGCCCTATCGAAAAACTATTGTTCCCATACGTAACCTGATTCACCCCAAAGCCAAGGTGAATCGAATCAAGCTATTTTTTTCATTTTTGGGTATACATATTTTGTAATGTATAATAATGCATCATATATAAAAATTGAAGCCTTCGGATTTTAAATTCCAAAATTTTTAAAACCATTGAAAATATATGTTGGGTTTGGAAAGCGTCCCGATTCCGCCAATCTACGGTACCACGTTTTAAAATACGCTTTAAAATATCTATAATAAATTCAACAACCCCGCTTAAACAAATGCAATGATTATTTTGCAAGCTCTAGGTACCTACTACGTAAATACAAGATTAAGGAATCTTATTAAGCAGTAGGATATAAAAATCCGAGATGAATTGAATAAAATAACTAGCTAAATAATAATGAATATTATATCACTTCCGATCGACAATATTAGATGAACGTAGATATTATCTGTACTTTGCTCTATCGGTGCTCATTGTTTTGAACGCCGTCAGTTTGGTTATTAAATTTCAATACTTTTGATTTTATTAAGTAGACAAATGATATATAAAATATAATTATGTTAAGTTTCAAAAGTTACATTGTAACTAGGTATGTTTGTAATCGTAATAAATCATACGTCATGGCTGTATTCGAAATCAGTGCTGCCACTACTTGAGGCGTAACACAAAATGTTGCCATTTTATTATTTTTCAATAATTAATGTTTATTGTCATGAGGGTAACTGTTTCCAAAAACAAAAAGGTATTATGGTTTTGGTTGATCATAAACGGAAAACAACATTTAATTTGTTGAGATAAACCTATATTTCACCTATACCATTAGTGCGCCTTATTTCAAGCTGAAGAACCACCTGAGATCAAGTGTACCTAATATAGAAACCTCAATGTAAAAACCGTCACTAACTACGAAATATAAAGTAGAAATCACAATGGTTTACTTATAACAGGTGTCACACCTTACAAACTGGAATAAATTTTAACTTCGCAGCAGAAATAGGCAAGATTGAAAATTGACAAATGTTCACGATTGACTTCCACGGTGAAGGAATAACATCGTGTAGTAAAAATCAAACCCGCAAAATTATAATTTGCGTAATTAGTGGTGGCAGAACCTCTTGAGTTGGCACTGGTAGGTACCAGCACCCTGCCTATTTCTGCAGTGAAACAGTAATGCGTTTCGGTTTGAAGAGTGGGGCAGTCGTTGTAACTATACTGAAACCAAAAACTTATATCTCAAGGTGGGTAGCGCATTTACGTTGTAGATGTCTATGGGCTCCAGTAACCACTTAACACCAGGCGGGCTGTGAGCTCATCCACCCATCTATGCAATAAAAAAAAGATTGTCGTATCAAATAGGCTGTGCGAAAAGCACAAAATATATTTAAAAAAATGCTTAGTACAATTTGATATTCTTAATTTTCCTATTTCGGTGAAGATAGTGTATTCACCGTAATCTAGACAAAATAATATTAATATTGATTAATTCTACATTTTTACTCTGCTCAACAATATTTTCTTTGTCTCCCACATAGCGACCTCCTCAACATTAAAATTACTTTGAGTCACTTTTGGTAATATTGGTTTTGGTTATGGTGCAACGTTGACAACACTACTTTCTCTCTACACTTCCTTAGACAAATTTTAAACATTAATGACTCATTTTTGTCATCCTGTAGCATAGATAATACATTGTCCTTTAGAAGATTAAACGAAATTCAGTTAAATTTAGAATGTGTACTTGGAAGTGAATTGCTCGCCTTTCATCATCAGCCTGCGGGAGTCCACTGCTGGACATAGGCCTCGCTTTGGATGCATCGAATTATTTTGAGCAGATCATCAAAAGTGGTTGTTGGTGGACTCTGCTCTCGGAACACAAGGTTCGACACTCTTTACCACAATTTTTATCTTGCATAACATCAACGGCATACTGATGGCATAAGAAATACATAATAAACTTACATTAGGTATTCTTTCATATTATGAAAATAGAGCCGATCAAAACTTGTGTGCATAGTGGATAGCTCTCGGGGATCGTTATCCGAAAGGCATAAATACAGCTTAATGCAATTCAAACTCACAAAGGAGGCACCACCTTCGCTGCCAAAAAACCATTTGTCTTGGCACCGCAATTTGAAGAAGTATCTCTGAAACTTTCTGTATTTTTGGGGTCGACATTTCGAGTAGTGTTGAATACTGGAGTCACATGAAAGGTAAAGCCATGTTGTCATCTAAAATGTTGAGAGTCCTCAATTGACCGAAGCAATACTTCCTGTACGGACGAAAACTTGTGCTTAATAAAGAAGAAGTCTGACCTCGCGTGAAGTACTACTTCTGGTACAGGACTGAAGCTCCAAAACATTAGCTACTATCTTTTGCCTCCTATAATACCTAAAGAGGATGCTTGAGATTTTCGATTATATTTATAAAAAATATCTTTAGTATTGCTTACATTTGTGAACGACGGGACGGAGCTACATTTAGAATTGCCTAACTTCCTTAAATGTCATAAAAATTAGATTTAGCTAGGTAGGCAGTGACTTTATTGTACCTTTTACATTAATGATTTCCATGAGCGAAAGTGGATCAACATTAGGTTGGTAATAGGGTGTGCCTAACTTCGAAGAATTTAATAGAAAGTAGCTTGTCTGAAGTGTACGAAGAAGCGCAATCTTATTTTTCTGATTATGTGAACTTGCGTATACAATTGGACCAGTTTGTTCATCTAAAAAGTAGATTATAAATTAAAGGCTGACCGGTGTACCGAGTGATGCGACTGTACATATGCAGGCAGGTAGCAAAAAAGTAAATACGTAATTAAAACGTGCTCATAAAGGACATCCACAGTAACATAGTTAGTAGAGTAAAACTATACCGGCCAAAATTTATAAAACATTTGTTCAAATTAAATTTTTGGTGGAATTAGGAAGTACTAGGAACTTGTACAGGTAAATTCCTGTTTTAGGCCTATTACTGCTGTGAAGCGTCCATTTGTTCCGGCTTAAAAGGTAGAACTGTCGCTATACAGTACGCATTCATTCAATGGCGATTAGGTTGTTAATACTTAACACCGTGTTAGCCTTGAATTTGCCGCCCATTTGCAGTAAAAAACTTAATGCTTATTAGTTAGGAAAATTTATGAAACTCTAGACCACGAAACCAGTTCTTTATAGACTCCCTCATCTTAAATTTTTGTTTGAGTAACTCATATCCCGGGCAAAGAGAACATAGCCCACACAACCAAAGCTTTTGTAAAGAAGGCCGACTCCATTTAAATAGTATGAAAAGTTAGATATAAGTGATGATTTTTATTAAAAAGAAATTGATTATGAAATGAAAATAAAATAAATACGATGAGACAACGCCATAGAAACCAGAGAAGTCCTGTCCAGAGACTATCCATAGTTAAATCAGCAAAAACATTAGATTAAGAAACTAATAAATTTTTATAGATGGCTGTACATATTATTCGCTAAAAATACCATCCTGAATAGGTAGTTACTATGGCTTTTTTTTTATTGCCTTTGTAGGCAGACGAGCATACGGCCCACCTGATGGTGAGTGGTTACCGTCGCCCATGGACTTCAGTAATGCCAGGGGCAGAGCCAAGCCGCTGCCTACCGCAAACTAGGGGCTAATAACACTCGGGGACGAAATATGTAAAGTAGATTTGTTAGCATACATTTTCGTTTCATGAGTTTATGATGTTGTTCAAAGTACTGCTTCTCTTTCGTTGAATGTTGAAGTCGCCGTGGCCTAAAGGATAAGACGTCCGGCGCATTCGTGTTGAGCAATGCACCGGTGTTCGAATCTCAGGCGGGCACCAATTTTTCTAATGAAATACGTACTCGACAAATGTTCCCGATTGACTTCCGCGGTGAAGGAATAGCATCGTGTAATAAAAATGAAACCCGCAAAATTATAATTTGCGTAATTACTGGTGGTAGGACCTCTTGTGAGTCCGCGCGGGTGGGTACCACCATCCTGCCTATTTCTACCGTGAACCAGTAATGCGTTTCGGTTTGAACGGTGGGGCAGCCGTTGTAAATATAGGTACTTGAGACCTTAGAACTTATATCTCAAGGTGGGTGGCACTTTTACGTAGTGGATGTCTATGGGCTCCAGTAACCACTTAACCAGGTGGGCTGTGAGGTCGTCCACCCATCTAAACAATAAAAATAAAATAAAAACTTTTTGCGTCTTTTGCCCATCGTTTATGATGAAATTTAATTCATCAATAATTATTTATAAATATGCTTTTACAATTATTTTATTCTACGGAAGATAAAACACAACATTTTATAGTAATCAAAATGTAATTTAAGAAAGAAAGCATCTGTTATGTTGAAAGCACCCGTGGCTTAATAGGTAAGTTACCCGATGTGCTCGTAGCTATACAAGTATTCCGTGGTTCGAATCCAGAGGCATATAACAATTTTCATAACTTAACACCTACTTACTTAATATGCAATCATCTTGCCTCCGGACGGTCATTACTACTATTTAATTTTAATGTCAACTTTATGTCTCATGACTTTCAAAACCATCGAACACCACGTGTCGCGTGAATGGAATTGCACATTTACGAACAAACAAAGGACTTTTAATTAATACTCAATAGGTAACCAGTTCCAATTACACGCAGATAACATCCTATTCTATTACAGAATAATAAATAAATTAAACTTTAGTACTACTATAATTGAAAACCTAAATTTATAGTAAAATAAAGTTTATTCGGAGATGTCAAAATTCGTATAGATGTTTACAGTCTGGTAACACTGTATATTTGTATAACACTGTTTCATAAAACATTGCTCACAACATTAATTATTATTCAGTTAAGTCGTGATTGTTAGGCAGTTCAGATACCGCTGTGTCAAATATGAAACGACATGGAATATAAATATAGATTATTAAAGATAATTATTAATAGATTGTTTTAAATAAAAACGGAGTGTAAAAATGGACTATTAATACATAATTGTAACTAAATAACTATGTGTTTATTTTTAAATTAAATGTATATTATTTAGTGCTGTTACAACCGCTTCAAACTTTTAACAGGTAAATCATAATGTAGGAACATTAACCTAAAAAATTTCAACTGCAAATAATTCATATTTAATCCAATAATTATGGCAATGCTGAGATTACCTTACCTACTTACATAATATGTTCATATATATGTTCTATTTTCTTCTATATTCTATTTTAATAATAAAAAGATAGCCTGTTAATATAGCCAAAAATAATAGAAACTTTATTGAGAGAAAAATTGCGAGGTTTTTTTATCACAATTTACAACAATTTTACTAGACGTAAAACATCCATCTTACGTGAGTTTGCTTTGTTTAAAATAGGCAAATCTCCGATATTTACTTTACATAAAATAACTTATAAATTTCGAATTTATTTAAACAATAATATAAAGTGTCTTGACCATTCTGTTAATAAAACTGTATTATTAATAATATAAAATAAAAAAGTAAAGTTGCTTTGCTGAAAACTGGTGGTGGAGGCTTGCTATCAATGCTTATCATTCTGACCACATTCTGTTTATCTAAATTTTAGTTCGCTTCCAAAAATATTCTGATAAAAATTGACCTCTTGAGATGTGAGAATGATAATCAAACATCTTCAAGAGCATAAAATGTTCTTCTGAATGTTGAATGCATTTATTTATCAAAACGGTATGCTCAACTCGCTCATGGACTAACATGATTTTCCATTATTCTTATCATTTTGTTTTTGTTCTTTTTAATTAACCCAATGCATTGTTTTAATTATATTTTTGTCATCACTTTAATAAATTAATTTCATTCATTATTCCATTAATATTATGTTATATTGGCTAACTTAATTCATCCTAACCGGATTAAATCTTTCAGGTCTGAAATCTTAGACAACACGCAAAAAAAGAAAGAACAAGATAAAGAATCCCAGAATTCAAATTACCAACAGCAAATTGTTAAATCAAATGATAAGTCATTACACAGTACAGAACTCCACAATGTTAACGTACCTGTAACTCAGCATGTACCAGCACAACAGTTATTGTCTCCGACACACAGCTCAAATCAGTCTGTGCAATCCAAAGAGGACCAAAAAGATAAAACAATAAAGGTTGCTAATTCAACTACAATAACCTTGATAGAGAACAGTACCTTGAATGGTGATAAAGACAAGGACAGTAATTATCATAAAAACTACTTTACTCTTGAACCCAAAGTGCATGACAAGAAAGATGAGTGTAATAAAAACAGTATTACTATAACTAAGACTGTGCCAAAACAATCTCCAGGGGGTAATAGTCAATTTGATAAATCTAAAACTCAAATAAAACCCACAAAGAGACCATTACAGTGTTTGGAAACACTAGCTGAAAAGGCAGGTATAACTTTTGAAGATAAATATGAAGCAGCAAATACTTTGTTGGCTTTAGACAAACAGAATCTAAACAGAAAACCTGAATTAAAGCAGCCAAAATCTGAACCGGATAATCACAATCAACAAGAAGAATACAGATACCGGAATCAGAAAGAAGAAGATGATAAATTACAGGTTTGTCAATTGTTTCTGTAGTATATTTTGTATATTATTAATTAAATATAATTTTCTTTTTTCTTTAAAATATAATAATAATCATATTAATTATTATTCTTTATCATATTATAAAAATGATTTAATGTTTAACAGGAAAATTAATAATTTTGATAAAATTTTAATGAGAGCAGATCCAGCAGCAGATAATACAACAACAACAACAGCAGCAACAACAACAACAACAACAACAACAACAGCAGCAGCAACAACAACAACAGCAACAACAACAACAACAGCAGCAGCAGCAGCAACTGCAACAGTTGCAGCAACAGCAACTGCAACAGTTGCAACATCAGCAACTGCAGCAATTACAACAACAAGCTCTACAAAGACAACACCAACAAGCTATACAACAGCATTTAAAAAATCAACAAGATCAGCAGGAATTGGTGAGTTTTAGAAATCTATTTAAGCTAAAATTATTATAGATAGTTAAAAATGAAGAGGTTCACAGGAGAAAAATGGTACATATATAGCCTGAATTGCGAATTGCGTGATTACAGTGATATTGGCCAAGATACATGACTTGTAGAACAGATGGGGCCAAAAAGCTCTTTGTTGGTGACTGATAATGCAGAAATAGTCAATGTGGTGGGCTTTTTTTTTTGTCGCGAATCAGGTTCGCTGGATATAGATCAAGTAGTGGATTTTTTTCTTAATCCTCCGCTGTGGAACATCTGGTATTAATAATGCTGAGAAGCGCTCTTTTTCCCGAACTCCACATGATTGGATATTGAGACGGGATGCTGGTCGTGGCTCTCGAAAGATTTCGATAAATCTCCCTATCTTGTTACGGCTGGAGTGACACTCGGTAATCCTAGTAGGTTTGTAGACCTCTGATAGCGCCACCGGTCGATACTTACATCACTGTTAAATGTATCCGCAAGGGGAGCTCCCGCTTGGGACCAGCCCTAACGTAAGAATGGTGAAGATGCTACAGCGGCCACTGCGAGCCTTCGCGGTCAGAACAGTGTTGGAGATTATCGGACCATGTCCTTTGAGTCAGCACACCACTAGGCGAGTACACCGCCCTGGATCCTGTTAGCGGATTCACTCCAATGCTGATTAAGATTCGAGGACTTATCACCTCAACGCTAGTACGGGTGTTGACTCACCACGGTTGCAGTGCTGAGCAACGTGGCAGGGGTGCTCGATCTGCAGCTAACCAATCTTATAGAGGTAGGCGGCGTGACGGCAGAGAGATCTCTCTCTATCGTCATCAAGCCGGGAGCTGGATTAGTGATCTCGCACGAATCCTGCTTTCCTAAGTCTATGCTGCTTAAATATATGCTGGAATTCAATAAGCTTAAGTTCGAAATACCTATGAAATGTTATTCTACGCATATTTTTTGAATTTTCGATTCAACGTTCTGACCACATGCGACAATGATTATTTTTTTTTATCTATTAGCAATTTCGCCCTACTACTACTATTTCCCCATATTATTATCTCCAATCCCAGGCCTTCAAATTGCAATGCGGGTTGATGTTGTATACGTGCCAACCTCGCATAAGAATATAGACAAGATAATTTATCTTAGTACTATAATCGCTAGTACTGAGTTAATATAGAAAACAAAAAATAACAATAAAAAAAAAATTAGTTAGAAGAAAAAACCATCATTAAAAACAAGCGTACCAACAAAACAGTCGTGGTATTTTTGTACGTAACTGGCGTATACTGGCGATAGGGCGAGCTGCGTTCACTTGAGTGGCCACTACGGTCCAGGCTGTTTCCGCTGCCAACTCATACGGAGGTCCGGTTTGAAAGGAAAGACCCGTACCGACTGCATGTCGCGTGGCGTCAGCATTTAAATGTAATAAAGTCCATTTACATTCACATTAGGTAAAGGTACGACCTACGATATCACTTCATGTTTTGGCACCTCGCATGAATACTTTTTTTTATGTTAATGCAAAGACGATGCAACTATATAGTCGTATTTAGTGCCCACACGTTTGTTAGACCAGTCATTCATAATGTATTGTACTAAGCGTTCCTCAGCGCATGTACACATTCCTAGTGTGTAGCCAATAGTACCTAATCAAAGGCGATCAGATTTGTCATAAAGTTGACAGTTTAATATAATAATAGTTGATTTAAATTGTGCATACTGTCTTTGACATTTATATAGGAGTACATAATATATTAATCCTGGATGGTTGCATATAGTGCAAGAGGTGGATGAGGATAGCCGAAGACCGAACTCAGTAGTGTAGTTTGGTAGAGGCCTATGTCCAGCAGTAAACGACTCTGGGCTGATGATGATGGTGATATAGTGTAAAATGTAGTCAGTCACTAACAAACTAGAGTTTTCGTTGCTTAGAAAAAAATGTCCCTTGCTTATTTTTAAATTCGATCTCCCCCATGTGCGTTTTTTGTCGATATTGCGCTCATGTTCTTTGTGTTACACGGGTATTTCATACTCATGGGGTAGCCCTAGGAGTAACGCATACAAACCGTTACGTAGTCAGTGATTTCAATCGAGCCACGCATCGCCATAGTAACAACTATGGTTTCTTTTTTTTTAGTGAGATTCACTTTTAATTAAAGTAAATGTAAGGTAATAAAAACATTGAGTTTAGTAAGTACACAATTCGCCTGCAATCTGTGTGCCTGATGCGAGTTTTTTAACGTTTTCGATAGCGTAAAAGTTACCTACCTGAAATTTGTATGCTCTTGGAACAGTGCCCCTAGCGGCAAACATAGGCAAACTTTTCATCTCCATACAAATTTGATTTAACTTTTACGCTAACGAGATCGTTACAAAACTCGCACTACTCGCACACTGATGTACTTTGGCATTATTATGAAGTAATCTCAGAAGTGCCGTGAACATTACGGTACAAAATTTCAACTGGAATCGGACAAACGGCGCACGATTACATAAAACACGAGCGCCCAAACAAAACCACTGACAATTAGTAATTTTATAAAAGTAATTAGATTTCGGTTTGTTTAGTAACAGTGACGTAAAGCTGTTTTAAGAAAGCTTCTTTGTTGCCCTGTTAGCAACAGCGGCATCTGTAATTATTGATTGGCGAAAGGAAAGCGCGCAAGTTCGGGTGTGTTTGTTGGAATTAATTCATGTTCTTTGGACAATGGCGTAACGGATTAGAAACTATTAAAACGCCTTATTAATAACTTCGCTAACCATTTAAAACGAATGACCTGACGCTTTCGTGTACTATGAAAGTTAACGCATGACTTTTTCGCGGTAGAATCAGACAGAGTGGTAGTGAACTTAATACATCTTCTTCATTTGTGACAGGTAATCCACGAAGATATGAGTCTAGAATTAAAACCAATTCACGGCTTAATTTCGAATTTACGAACACTATTTAGTAATATCCGACATTTGGAACACTACAGTTTTCGTAATCAGGTGTTGTTAATCAATATTTTATTATTTAACTATCATCTAATATATTTTTATTATCATTATCCTCTATGTACAACTAACTAGCATGAGTAGTATTTTATAGAAACTAGATAAAATAGACATTATAACTTTAGATAAGTTCCAAATATCTTCTCATAAATGTAACGTTTCCCTTAGAGTGTTTGTATTTTGTCAATCGTATAAAATCTTTGACGCCCAACGTCCAGAGAATATTGTAAATGACGTATCAAAGCTATTATCGTTTTCAACGAACGTAAACATTGTAAAAATAGGTATATACATAATATAGAAATATATACGTATAATAATACTAAATTCGAACCGGGCTTATAAAGTTATGCAAAATTCCCACAAACAATAATAATCAAAGACAAAATATGTGTATGTTCGTTATTATTTTAATTCTCGACCGTACATAAACGCAGACTAGATTCGAATTTTACGATGATAACGTATATAAGTAAAACCCGTAGGCCGCGCATTCTTCAATGTTGCCAACGGTCGTTTAGATTTACCGCACTAAACAACCAGTTTCCTAACTGCTTCGGTATATAGCGCATCGTTATTTTACTTTATAATTTCTGAGCAACGAACCGATTGAATCGAAGTTTATGTTGGATCTAAGTTTTATTTCTACCCGAGGATGGTGTTAAGCGTCGGCCGGAGCCCATGGACATCGCAGCGTCAATTTCTCCACCCGCATTCTCTGTTGAAATAACTGACACTTAATTATTTCGTTATATCGAAATATTGCTAGCTTCATTAATATCAACCACAGGATAATCAGTGTTTATACTCAGCAGCCACGAGTGACAAAAATAACTTACTTATACATATCTCCAGGCAAATAAACTGACTCTTTTATTACCAAATATTATTTAATTTTAAATGCACGGCGTGAAGACGATGTTGAATAGTGTTGTTCAGTTTCCATTCGCAATGTCTTTCCATGGGCCACAACATCATCAGTTATTGCTTTTAAAATATATATTTCACTCAAACAGACAGTGACGTAATTACGAATACACTCTAACTCGTTAAAACCAATCGTAAACAGTAAGTACGAGATGGAGGTTCATAATGTAATATCGAACTTCTTTCAAGATTTCTGACACTGCAGCCATATCCATAAAATGAAATTTTTATGCTTGCAGTACGTGTTGTAGCGTTGTGATGTGGAAATTACTGTCGATGTGTCGATCAATTAAACCCTCCAGTCTATTAATTAATTGGAGGGAAGAGGGAGGAGGGAGGAGGGGAAATCATAACCTGAAATAAGAAAAGATTCTATAATTTATCCACGAACATTATCAGAAATTTCAGACAGATTCCAAAATTTCTATTCGCAGACTACCTTCATTATTCCTTACGATTAGTGCACACGGGCGTTTTTATACATACATATCACTACATAGTATAAAACAAAGTCGCTTTCTCTGTCCCTATATCCCTACGTAGGCTTAAATCTTTAAAACTACGCAACGGATTTTGATGCGGTTTTTTTTAATAGATAGTGATTGAAGAGGAGGGTTTATATGTATAATAACATCCATTAAATAGTGGAGAAATCAATAATAAATTACAGTTTCCGAAGCGAAGCGAAGACGGGTCGCTAGTATATATTTATAAAGCTTAGAGTCGTTACCGATTACTGTTTGCAGCATACGATGTATAGCACAGGTGGTCCTGCTCTTTGCGCGACCCTTTCGGTAGATTTTACTGAACTAACGCGGCTCTCACACCTTGCCAGCACCGCACCCCTAACCGTGTATACGGTTACGCCAATGTCGCACCTCTCGCTCTCACAACAGAGCTCAAATTACTTATAGGGTATGATTGAAGCTTAACTTAAATCAAACCACACTAAAGCGTAGGAAAGAATATTGTTGTACAACGATGCCTCGTAATTAAGAAATTTTAGGCTCTAAACGACTCTGCAGCTGCTATATTTTTTTACGTATACTAAGTCTATGTAAAGTGAATTGTAAGTAATATTAAAACAGCATCAACGTTTGTGATCGTGAACTATTAAAAAATAAATTAAACTAATGTTACTTAATATAAGAATTTAATTCATTTGATGACGAGATATAGATTACGTTAACTTAGAATATTTTGATCAGTATTTATTAAGTTAATATTCAAAAGTTACCGTGTCTCATGCTGTAAAGATTCCGGACGTTACCCCTAAATTTGCTAATAGTTACAGAAGCAGTATCAACAACAGTCTCAACAACAGAAACAAGAATTACTGCAAATAACTCAACAATCGGAACATCAACAGAAATTCTTGCAGGTACAATGTTACGTGAATTTTACTAATAACATCCATTAAAATTACTAACATTGTTCAACGTTTTTATAACTAGATCCGATATCTTCGAAGACATGTAAAATAAAGCATGCGATCGTTCTAAATAAATAATCGCTACGATTTGTACATTTACAAACGTATTCAGATTGTTGGCACGATATTAATCATCATTAGATCCATTATTTAACCCACTAAATCATTTTAACACTAACTGCATTTAATTCAAAGCTCAATTAATATGTCGTTCCCGATCTGTCCATGAAACTCAATTTTCGTAAAGAAAATTCTCGTCTGTATACACGTTGTAAATTGCATATAATATTAAAACGAAAACTGTCTTTATTGAGACGGTTGAATACGGGTGTTTCCTTTTTTTATTGTACTACATTCCGCACATCGCAGAAAAAGCAACGATCGCATTTTATTTATTTCGATACCTTACAAACGTTACCGAATGATGTGTAGAACTTCAAACGAAGTTAACGCCATCAAACCAATTACTTACTGTAAATACGCGGCTACAAATACTTTGTCAAAGACGAATCCTTTTTAAGTTTTTTTTTTTGTCAAACCCATTGAATACATCTGAGTCAGTGAGCGAGCTGTACTCGTTTAATGCGATATTTGTGATGTTCGGTGATTATTACAATATATGATCGATAAATGTATAGTACATACTAATATATAAATCTACAGTGGTTTTTACGGATGTTCCGTTATAACTACTAAACCATTCATCCGATTGAATTGCAACTTGGTATCCATGTAGAAAATACATGTACTTAATGGATAGGCTAATATTTTAATGAGTGTTGGACTCCCTAATTAATAATAATGACAATAAATAATAATGGTAATTTTTAATGCCCAGCGAAGCGGACGATTACGGCTAGTACAATATAAGTTTAAAACATGATCGGCTTATGCAAGATCTCTAAAAACTACCTATTGTATTATTTACTTTTGTTTGAATTTCAACGATTCGCTTGTCTTTAGTTTTCGGAAGCTAGTCCTTTGCACTTGCGATATACTAAAATTTGTTCACGAGGGGTCACGGTTGACAGCAAGCATGCATCGACGTAATTAATACAAAGGTGACGGTTGAGATAAAACGATTCCGTTAGCTAAATAAACCTAGAACCAAGTTGACTGACATATCCCAAAGGGTGTCAAGATTAAAGAGGCATTGCTCGTAGAATAAATGGCAGCTAGAGCCGAAAAGATCTCGAATGGCGACCGCGCAGCGTAGATAGGCCAGGCCACCCAAGAGATGTATCGAAGACCTGCTGAAGGTCGCGGGAATCTGCTGGGTGCAGGCTGCGAAGGACCGGTTATTGGGAAGCCTGTGTTATGAGCTCCTCGGACACATCATGCGGTCTCCCAGACATGAATTAGAGAAGCTCATAATTGCGGGTCGCATAGAGGGCAAGCGCGCCGTGGGCAGAACACCAGCCAGATGGTCAGATCTGGCAAGAGAAGCACTTGATGGTAGTCTGTACCATGCCGTCCATGCCACCCATGATCGAACACAGTGGAAGAACGTCACATGTGGTCGCGATCCTTAGTAGTGAGGGAACGATATAGAAGAAGTGTCCAGCAGCAGGGTCTATGAGTTAGTACGGGTACCGGCGAAGGCGGGACTTTCGGCGCGCACTGCGGTACCGTAAGTTTCGTGTAGTCGGTGTGGTGGAGCTCGATGGGCTTTTGGGTCAGGTGTAGGACCTCGGTCCTTCTCTTCTCCCCTTCTTCCTCTCAGGAGGCGCCGGAGCCCGACATAACCTGGTTCGTTACCCCCATCGACCGGGTATCCGTAAATGGATTCTCCAGCGTTAAAAAATGAACTGTAAAAAAGTACACACTTTATATCCGTTTAGATGTGGCTAAAGAAATCTTTAGACTGGTTTAATGGTGAGGGTATGTGTTAAATAATAAAATAAACTGCATGTTCATGATCCAATTGTACATTATCCACGAGAGATATCAAGATCGCAACTTTAAAATATTAATTGCTACTTCAGTAATAACTTGCACCAAAAAACTGTTTCTGATTTAATTTTGCGAAAAAAATAATAATACATATATCCTTTACATAACTTTGCTCGATCGATCAGATACAAGAGATATCCGTAGGTATCTATTAAATCTGTTTCAATTATTCAAAATTATTACGAATAAATGACCTTTGCTTAATACACACAAACCGTATAATTATAGATAGAGCTATTAACTACAGGTCTACCGCCTAACTAATACTACCCCTTAGGTAAAGTGAATCGAGGAAGGGGCTTAGAACCGGACACATGATATTTTCAACATAAAACGCGTGCTTCGATTAAGAATTATTAACTCAGAATTAAAACTGACATTGTATTGAAACATCAAGAGTCACGGTGTGTTTTCGTATAATTATACTTACTGTAGGACACATTCACTTTACTTTCACCGTACCTACTTTTTACATTTACGTTAAGAATGAAAAGTTATGATTAGAAAAAACTGTGGATAAATTGAAAATATTTGAAATTTAACAATGATCGTTGCTCAATGTTATTTAAGGCGCAGGTGATGTTGCAGAATATCTGCAATTGTTACACTTCAATAGTCGTCAATTTCGCAACCCACACACTTTGAGGAATCCTAGTTAGACCTCAATATTAAGGCGTTCAAATTTTAACTTCGTTTAATCTGTAAAAAATAATAGATTTTACGTAACGTGTTTAATTCTAATATAATGCTACCACTCTCCTCTAAGTCGTTTCGGCCATGGCGACCACTTCAAGCTCCGTTTCTAATTGTCACGGTATGCTCGTGTGTGGATAACATAACCGATCTTATTCCTAAAGGTTCGTACACATTGCGGACAGGTTATGATAGTTGTAAGAGATAACACAAGGCGGGCGTGCTTTCAGTTTATTGCGTCGAGCATCTGTTTCAGAGCAACTTTTCTAATATGCTTTAAATCTCTTTTTTTTTTATTGCTTAGATGTGTGGACGAGCTCACAGCCCACCTGGTGTTAAGTGGTTACTGGAGCCCATAGACATCTACAACGCAAATGCGCCGCCCACCTTGAGATATAAGTTCTAAGGTCTCAGTATAGTTACAACGGCTGATGTTAGTATTCCTCGCTTAGGTCATTTGGTATATGCATTGCCATTCTGTTTCAGATATAATTGAAAGGATGAAAAGAAGGTACCTACTCGCGCTTACCCCCGCGCAATTAAACCCGCGTTTTAATGATGAATTCAGTTCATTTAGTTAGAAGAAAAAAACTTCTTTAAAGTAACACCTAATTGAGGGAAATAGAGACCATTTTTTTTTTTTTTGTCAGGAGGAAATCGCCGGACTTCCCCTCTTCACTGGGGATGGAGGGCGGGGCATTTCGGAGTCGAACCGACTAAAACCTCTTGTCTCTCAACAACCAACGTCCAAACCTCGCATGAGACAAAACTCATGAAAAGGCAAGGGGGGGGAAAGTGAAGCGTTTAGTGCGGAGCACATCTCTCCCATCCCCCTCCCCCTCGGGACGCCGGACTGGCGGTCGTCGGCGCCACGACCACCAGCCCTCTCGGTCGGCAGGCTATCCGAAGCCCGCCTAGATGGCGCCGGTTAGAATGGTCTATCCTACGGAATACCCCGCTGGGTCAGAACCAGCGTGGGTTGAGGATAGCCGGCCTTCCATCACCCGGATGCTCATGCATAAAACGCGTGCAGAGCAGCTTGCACGTCGTCTTCTTAGGCCCCCTTCGCCGGTCCCCAGGCCGACATGTGAGGGAGACCCGAAACACTTAGAGGGCCAGGGCTTGGGCGAGATCCGCCTCCCTGGCCCCCGCTCGACGGCGGCGGGCCTGTGCGTCTCTCACGCGCCCCGCCGCCTCCTTCTGCGAGATGGTGGACTCGCAGAAGTCAAGCATCGCCTTCCACGACTCGTCGTCACCGAGCATCGATGCCACAACACTCGGAAACGACAAGTCGTTTCCTATTTTTGCGACGAGGACACGGCGCCACCCCTCCCATGCGGGGCAGGCGACGAGCGTGTGCTCCACCGTGTCCAAGTCGCAACCACAATGGTGGCACTCCGCCGTCGGCTCGGCTCCGATCCGGTGCAGGAACTCACCGAAGCAACCATGCCCAGTGAGCACCTGCGTGAGCCGGAAAGTGAGGCGTCCTCTGTCACGATTCACCCAGTTCACAAGAACCGGGCGAATCGCCTCGACGGTTCTACGACCAGCCGAAGGATCGGCCAGCCGTCTGGACCATGACTCCAGCGAAATAAAGACCTAACAGTCTATTACTTCGTGAGCGTCGGAAAATATACTGGGTGTTAGAAAACCGCTTCCGAAAACGAAGACAGATGATAGTACTAATGATGAACCATATTTGATGATGGGACGGAAAAAAAACCGATACTTATTTTAAAAAAAAAACCATAGTTTTAAAACGTTTTATTACCATTATTTACTCTCCATCATGTTAGTACAGATAAATGAAACGATAGTTTCATAAAAAATACATAACTTTACTTTAAAAAAAATCAGCAATGAATTATTTTTTTTCGTCCCGGCATCAAAGGTGTCATTAGTACTATCGTCTGTCTTCGTTTTCGGAAGCTGTCTCCTAACACCCAGTATAGGTAAAATATATTATATGTATACATATATGGCGATTGCATGCAACAGAGATGCGAATTTTGCGATGGATGTATGGAGTAACAAGAATACGGAATGAATGTGTTAGAGGAAGTCTGAAAATGGCACCTGTGACAGAGAAGCTGAAAAGTGCACGTTTGGGATGGTATGGACATGTGATGAGGCGAAATGAAAGTTGGTAAGAAAGAGTTAACTTTGAATGTGAAAGGATATAGAGGAAGAGGTTGACCTAAGAAGAAATGGATGGATTGCGTAAAAGACGATATGGGTAAAAAGGGAGTGAGCGAAGAAATCGTAGGTATATGATAGAAGAGTATGGAAGGAGAAAACATGCTGCGCCGACCACAGGTGACTGGGAGAAGGGCAGGAGAATGATAATGATGATGATGGGTATAAATAGATAGATCATCGTTGATGTAATGGAACATACCTAGATTCGGTCTATTCTACATTGTTATCTATCTAAAATTAGCTAAGTCTATAAAGTGTGTTGTTCTTTTTATTAAAAAAAAGAAGCTCAATGTAGATTCGGCATTAAATTAATAAAAGAAATTAACAGAAATATCAAAATAATGTTGAAAAGGAAAGGAGCCAGCGATTTCTTTCAATTATTCGTTTATTAAAAAAATTCTATAAATTACAGTATTGTTGATAAACAAAAAAATTTACAAACCAAGAATGAAGTTTCTCGCAGACCTTAAAATTCACAAGTCATCTGTAAATCCATTCAAGTATTGTCATGAGAATATGGGCCTCTCTAAAGAGTGATTGTTATAGTGGTTTTTTAATATTTCTTTATATAACTTGTAGGTTTAATGTCGGCCATTACAACACCGGGACCCATACGATACAAACAAAAGTCTGCCACCATTAAATTTGCCTTTATTGTGTTTTGAAAGAATTCGCAAAAAATTTCAATACACAATAAATAATTTCAATGTTCATTTTCGTAAAAATATTCGTTGCAGCACCAATTTATTTACTGATTATTATGGACATCATTCTACTGTATGGTTAGAAAAAGGGAACATCGTTTGTTTGTCTATATATGAGGATATAATTGTGATTTCAAACGTAAGTTTCAATGCGGGTACCATTACGGCTCACCAGACTGAAAGTAGGCCTACTGAGTTTCCCGCTAGATCTTCTCAGTTAGTGGCGATTCCGATCCGGTGGTAGATTCTGCTAAGCACTGCTCTTGATAGGGCCAATGTTAGCAAATTCTCTCAGGTTGAGCCCGTGAGCTCACCTACCCGTCCGGGCCTAGCTGGGATAGCCTCTTAGGTTACCAGCGAATAGGTAGGGAAAAAGAACGAAAAGTACATAGTTTTTTCTTTATGCATGCGTTGCTTGATGCTTAATCCTGCGGACAGAATGGAAAGCAGTCGACGTCGCCCAAAACACGTCATTTCGGATCCTCCCGACCCACTAACGGTGCTTTTAGGTACCTCAAACACCGGTCATCGTTCTCGTCGAACCCGTCGCTTGCGACGAAGGGCTCGACGAGTAAATTAACCCACAGACACATCCCACAGAGTTTCTCGCCAGATCTTCTCAGTGGTTCGCGTTTCCGATCCGGTAGTAGATTCCGCGAAGCACGACTCTTGCTAGGGTTCGTGTTAGCAACGTCGTCAGGTTTGAGCCCCGTGAGCTCACCTATTAGTTAAGGTTACGCTGAAATAGCCTCTCAAGGCTATCCGCTTAGGTAGTAAAAAAAAAAATTATGTCTGTGCTGTCTTGAAGCTCGAGAGTTCGATCTTAAGGATCGCTATTAACTACCCGAGCGCTCCCGAAAAAGGCCTAACATCTTAAGGGTCGCTACTACGTACGCATTCAGGTACCGCTGGGTCGGTAAGGCAAGTCGTTGAATGTCCTCCTAAAACTTAACGGACCGATGCGATAGCTTAGGCGTTACGTCTTCTTCAAAGAGTGCGGTGATATGTGCTTTGTTTGTTAGAGAGGGGTTCAGGTGGTACCAGGTGGGTTCAGGGCGTTGTTGGTGACTGGCTGTTTCGTAAGTCTGGGCCGTAGTTAGTGGCGGTTACGATAAAGGGGTTATCATGTCGCTATGCTGTCATGTAGAAGCGCTCCGATGCCGCCTTCACATACGTATAGATTGGTTCGAAATCGAACCACGTTCGATATGTGTTAAAAAAACATATTGTAGTTCTGTACTGTGTTTTTTTGTTGTTTTTGTTTATCGTAAATTTATTTCAATTGTCTGGAAAAGGTAACTAAGTCAAGTAGTTGTACGTAAAACTTAAGTATATGTCAGGGTTCGGAACAGAGTTAGACTAATGAAGAACGTGACTAAATTCTGATAATATTGACTACGGCAACGCGTTAACAGTGCAAGTGGCATTCTCACGGCTGGCGGGCTACCATTCACAATCACAATAAGCTGATTTCATACTTAGAAGAATGAGAATGTATGTAACTGCATGTTTTGATTGTTTAATATACTGAAGTTATTATAAAATTATAAATTATTGCGAAAAGTTGGATAATATAGCTCTGAGTTTTAGTCGGAATATACGACTGGCATCACTAGATGCAAAATTTTGGTCTCCTGTCCGAGGGAGGACTCGGAAGTCGAGGGGCGTTCATAAAATTTATATTTAAATAAAGTAATTTTATTGATTATTACCAAAATAATAATGTGTGGTTAAAAGTACTGCATTTTTCATTCCTTTGATAATATTAACGTGAAAGTGTCATTGTAATGTGTCACTAGTTAATGGTTGCGGTGATCCATACTTTACAAATATATTGAGCACTTTTACAATATGTAAGGCGAAAACCTTAGCAAAAATGCAAACAATTGTCCATTTACCAAGCTTGAACACTCCTTTTAAATTATTTTAAGTTATGTTCAATTATAAGTTAATTTGTAGAAACGCAATGAACATCTACCTAATTTAGGAGTCAACAACCGCAATCAATCAATCTCGGGTTGCCGGTGGCTATTTAATGGTAATTAAGCAAATGTTTCATTTGTTACATTGCACTGTTTAAAAACAAAGCATGTAGTTTTTAAGGCTAGAGGATATTTTTGATGTTACCGCGGCATGAATGCACACCAATCACTATATCAGCTGTTTGAGTTTTCGAGGGGGACTCTCTTACACCCAGTATGCAAAATTTCAGTGTTAATTTTAATACCATTTGGCATTTTGAAAACAAATAATTGTCATTTTTACAAATGGCAACTCTACATTTTCTCATGAATTCATTATCGTGGTAAAGTGTAATGTTTCCTATTCCACGTACAATCTATAGATAAGTATGCCATATGAAACGATCACTCCCATATTGCTGTTTTAAATTATTATTTTTTTGTGACAGGATAAATAAATCAATTAATTACATAAAATGTTGCTTTATAAGCTTGTTCAGTTAGCATACACTTCGCGTTATAATAATGTTAACATTAATGTTATGTGAACGTAAAAATAAATATAAATATTTCGATTGGCATTTTTCTAAAGATCGCACTTTGTTCGATTGGTCAGATCTGTGTTTTTTAAGGTAAATCCTAGAATTATAAGGTTCTAAACACAGAGTATCATCAAAATAGGTTTTATTCATTATTTTTTGCAAATATGCAGACATATACAAAGGAACAAATATTCTGACGAAAAATAATTATTCATTTGAAATCAGGTGTACTATTACTACTACTAAACACGCATTTTTACAACACATTTGTTTATTAATACCTAAACGTAGATGTAGGAAAATCGAAATCGCGTGATGACCGAATTTCATTAAAAAATAATCTTCAGTCTTATCAGAATAAACAAATGTCAGCAAAAAAAACCGCTCAAATTTCTCATTGTATAGCATAACGCGTGGTCTGCATAAGTCACGGGAACTGCAAGACTGCAAAAAAAGTAATATTATTTAGTTGTGTACGAACAAGATCATTTTATAACTTGTTCTCGTGAAAGCATATCGTGCTTGGAGACTAGTTGTTTACTTAAAAAATAAATTACCCTTGATACGTGTTCGATAATATATATTTTTTTTAAATCAATAACGTAATTATTTCAATTGAAAATGGATTTTGGATGCAGAGCGTATCGTTTTCTTTATCAGCCGGTGCACACGCAGCAGTTCAACGTACCAGGAATAGGAGAGATCAATCTAAGTTTCTTGGCGTCACCACAGAGCAACGTGAACCTGCTTTACGACAAGAACCACAAGCCCGGCATGAGCGGCGAAATCAAACCGCAACAAGTCAGTTACATACATTATATACATATATTTCATTCATATTCATAGAAATAAGACGTTTTATATTATCATCATCGCTTGCTATCGTGTATTGCAAATTTTTTTACATTGTAGTCATACCTACCAATAACCTGATAAGAGTTCACGCATCGTCTTAAATTTTCGTTATTATTGCATATTAAAAATGATAACATGCGATGATGCGAATAAAAAACTGACCAGTGAATGCGATCCACGTGGATGTGTGATGGAATATTTTTGTCCAAGCCACATCCAGTATTAATTTAATTCCTTCCTTTTGCATTCTCGACCTCGCGACAGAGAATGTGCTGCCGGAGGTGTGAATATCTTTTACTGTTTGCATCGCAAAGTATCTGATATTATTCTTACCTTCTGCGAATCTTACCGGTTGATTCGCTACGTTACGCCTTTTGTAAACACTTCGGGTTCTTGAAGAGCAAACTTCCTTAGTTGCGTTGTAATTGAAAATTCGAAGAAATCGAAATGTTAATAATTTACATTAATACAGTCGTCACATATACATCTATATAATTTAACCTGTGAGAGAACGAGACAGAATATTTTTGATGATTCTATTTCCACCACGTCTAGACTGAACACCTATTTTTATTGACCTAATGACTATATCGGTAGGCCTTGGTTTAGCTGTGTCCATTACCTTATCCACGAACGGCGATGATTACTTATGAACGTGGTGGACGTTTGCTCATATTCGAAAGCAATGCTTGACCGTCTCGTTGGTCAAGTGGTCAGCGACTGTGTAACATGTGGTCATAGGTCTTTCCAAATCGCTGCTCGAAAATTTTTCAGATTCTATTTAAATTTAGTATTGGTATTCTTGTGTGAACTTGTGCACCCAAGACATACGAATGAATTCCTAGCTTAGTGCCACTAAATGTAAAAATAATAATTAAAAACAATATTTATTTATGAGACTTACGCTCCTCCGATAAATGCGTCAAAAGATATTACGGAAAACGGTAACTTATCAGCACATCCCGGAGGCGCTTTCCGGTATTACTTTCGTTTCGTATTTTGACCTTCATTCCACGATCAGAGGAATATAAACAAAAATTAGGTATAGTAAATTAAGTGCATCTCTACGTCTTGCATTCAATTGTATCGAACTGGTCAAAGGTTAAATGACAATCAGTGCTTTAACTTCAGCATATTATAGCATCAATCATCTCGAGTACCCTAACAACGGTCTGAGCAATATAATTCATTTCACGAACGTTAAATTGGCAACTCTGCTTAGTTGCATAGTCCAGCATCAAAGTCTGACTTTGTCGATACTAAAAATTATAATCGCGTGATAAGATCGTTGGAGAGATCACGTTACAGAAAAACATTGTTGCCCACGGCTAAAGGCAACAGCTGTCGTAAAAGTAACCAGTTTAATTATTTAACGACCAAAGGTAGTAGTCGTTCGTTTATTATTTGAGAAAATTTTCATACCCTTTAATTTCGAGAGTCTTTTTTTTATTTGTAGAATCTTTTAGACCGAGGTAGGACATGGAAAAATGGATGGGGCCGTTGTAATTATACTGAGACCTTAGAAATCATATCTCAAGGTGGGTGGCGGCATTTACGTTGTAGATGTCTATGGGCTTCAGTAACCACTCAACACCAGGTGGGCTGTGAGCTCGTCCACCTATTTAAGCAATAAAAGAATAAATAGTTTATCGCTGATCTCGCAGAGACGCGAACCTTACGACATTCCGAAGTGTGGTGTATCAACTATATTCACGTATAACACCAGAGGGTAAACGTCGCCTCGTTTTCAATTTCAAATATAAATAAGATGCCCGATACTTCGAAACGTGTGCCGAGATTCAGAACGATTAAATTTTCATCTCTCCGAGAGTAACCAACCGGAGAGGACGTAAAAATTCGTGTGATTGAATATATTATTATAACGTGTTTTCTTGTGTACACATTCAATTCAAACTACTAAATCAACAGTTAAAGTTCTTTGGACGTCTTCAAGAAGTTAAATATACACGATTTAATTTGAAGGTGTCTAGGTTGTTAGGTCCCGAGGGAAATAGCCACACGGCACGCAATTTGTAACGCTACAGTAAACGTGTTGAGTTCGACCCAGCAGCGGAAATTGTATTGCTTATAGTGTAAACTCGCCTGAGCATAAATTCAATATAGTTAACTAAACCTAGGTATGTAACCATATAAAATTATCATTCAAAATTTATTTCAATATGATGTATTCCCGTGGAATTGTTCGAGAGCCTCGTCACATTTTACCCTCGCGTATCATTTATCAAGCTTCAGTTCGTACTCCTTTTAAAAGTAATATTTATCTTATATCTTTAAACGAGCAATTTTTGTACATAAATATATATTATATATAATTTGAATCTCGGAAACGGCTCCAACGATTTTCATAAAATTTAGTATACAGGGGATTTCGGGGGCGATAAATCGATTTAGCTACGATTTACTTTCAGAAAATGTTATTTTATTCGTGTTTTCACTTTATCGATAATTTTGATTTGTTCTTTAAATAACCAGTTCATTTTTTTTTATAATTGTGTCGGTAAGATCGAAAACTATTATTCATATTTCATCATTTTATCAATATGTAATTCGTATATTTAAATATAATTTCTAAAAAAAAACAAAATTTATCAAAAAAAAAAGCCGAGCACTAGTGTTGTTAATAAGACGCGTGTACATCATCGCGGTTATCGCCGAAGCGGTAGAGTTATAAATGACTTTAATTATAGATAGTAGAGGGTCAACCGCAAGTAGTGCAGCACCAGCTGAGCATGGCGCAACACGAGCCATCGCAGCAACACCACCAGACTGTCACCGTCGTGTCCTCGATGCCCAGCAACATGGCCTCGCACCAGGTAACTGAACCACTTCAAAATTAATGAACTGTGCAACATAGCGTTTTTTTGTATTGTGTGTGCTAGCTTTTACTGGTGGTTTTGTTATTTTTTTTTATTGCCTTTGTAGGCAGACGAGCATACGGCCCACCTGATGGTGAGTGGTTACCGTCGCCTATGGAGTTCAGCAATTCCAGGGGCAGAGCCAAGCCGCTGCCTACAAACTTGTGAGTCCGTGCGGGTGGGTACCACCACCCTGCCTATTTCTGCCGTGAAGCAGTAATGCGTTTCGGTTTGAAGGTGGTTGTTACTATACTTGAGACCTTAGAACTTATATGGGTAGGTGGCGCATTTGCGTTATAGATGTCTATGGGCTCCAGTAACCACTTAACACCAGATGGGCTGTGAGCTCGTCGTTAGATGGGTAAGCAATAAAAAAAAAATAGTACGAGTTCTTCAACGCTCTCGATAGCGTAAAAGTTAGCTCATATTTGTATGGAATGGGATCGTTTGCCTACGTTTGCCGCTAGGGGCGCTGTTCCAACTGCATACAAAATTGGGTTAACTTTTACTCTATCGAGAACGTTAAGAAACTCGCACACTGTTTCGTGTTTGTATAATCCGTTTAGAATGATTCCAATAATGTCTAATGTTTTTGGACGTCACACATCATAGCATATTAAAATCACATTAAATACGTAATTACTTAATATCATATTTGGTTATAAAATCGGAAATTGTGCTTGTTTCTAACCGAGTATAAGTCGACACATCTATTTTTGGGACAGATTTTATTTTATTAATTTACCTAAAAATAGTAGTACAGAGATCGAAACACCGAGAAACAAAACTACAGACGATTCTAGAAAAAAATCGACTGTCGATGTAGCGACAGAAAGAGAACGCGTATACTCCGACTGCATTATCTAAATTGTCGTGCTATACAATCTGAAACTTTAATGAGCTACGTCTGAGAAATTTCATTCAATGTGTAATCACATAAGTAGCTTCCGATCAGACATACTTTGAATAAAACACTTATTACATCCTGCTTTAATAAGTAACATTAATTATTTAAATTAAAAATTTGCTCCGATTCTTTATTAATAAATAAATATGTACTAACAATCACGCCACGTTAACTGGTCCCGTGCTAAGTTCGTAAAGAACTTGTGTTACAGGTACCAGATAACGGAAACAAATGTAAGATTTTTATTATACACATACATATATTTAATAAACATCCATAACCCTGGAAAAGACATTTTATGTTTATCATACAAATATCTTCTCTTGGCGGGATTCGAACCCGCGACCCCCGTGTGTAGTGACCATGTCACTTACCACTACACCAGACGGCCGGCCAGTCTTTACGATCAAACTTACTTTTACGGCTTAGAATAGGGCTTATTGTTGTATTCTGCACTGCAATTGAAATCGTTCTTCCGATATCTGTTTCTACATATATGTAGTTTTATACTTTTCTTTAATTCAATTGAAAATGCTTCACGATTAAGTAATAAAACTGATTATTTAGAATTAGCTTAAAATAAAATAAAAAGGTGTTACAATCGATGATTCGACCTTAGTTATGAAGGTCAACTGATTGAATCCACAGTTTGACGATATAGAAGTTTGAAACTTTGTATTAATGATAGTTTCTTTCTTTCTTATTAAATATTTCTAAGTCGATAATATTGAATATTGAATTTTAACTGGTGGTAGGACCTCTTAGGAGTCCGCACGGGTAGGTACCACCGCCCTGTCTATTTAAGCCGCGAAGCAGTAATGCGTTTCGGTTTGAAGGGTGGGGTAGCCGTTGTAACTATGTAACTAGTTAACTATAATGAGACCTTAGAACTTATGTCTCAAGGTGTGGCGCATTTAAGTTGTAGATGTCTCTCCAGTAACCACTTAACATCATGTGGGCTGTGAGCTCGTCCACCCATCTAAGCAATAAATACAAATTACTTGTGGTTTGTAGGTAGGTACCTACGTCACCGTTCTATGAGTTCAATTAAAGTCGGTTTCCGATAACTTTAGGTACAACAACAACAGACCGGCGGAGGTATTCAGCAGCAATCTAACGCTGGAATAACGACGATGCCGCCCCTACAAAGTTTGCCTTCGAACGCTCAACATCCCCAGCAACTTAGGTGAGTCACTCGCCGTTCAAACACCACCCTAAAACTTTGTCGATGTTATTAACTGTGTACCGAGAGCGAAGTTACGCGCGGAACCCGTCTAGGAATCTGTTATACTCGATGTTTCTAGAACGTTCTTGTTAGCGCTACGTAATAGTTTTGCGTATAATTTTGAAGTAGCAACCGACTAGAGTTAGGACTTTGTTAAGGTAAGTTTGTACGTAAAATACTGAACATGTTTCCTTGTAGCACGATTGATAGTTTGCGGATAGTTTGGAGCTAATTAATAAGCCGTCGTCTTCTAGTTTAGGGTTCCGTTTGACAAAAAGAAAAATAATAAAACCCATGTAGTATCACTGCCATACTTGAGATCGTAGAGATTCTTACACGAAATTTTAGAGATACTAAATATTCGTAGAGAATAGTAGAGATACCAAATGTTCCGATGAAAGGAAATTCTATACCCATAGGTATTTTGTTACTAAATAATTTAAATTTTAGTACTTTACTTTCAAATTTTGTTTTGATTCTTGACTTCACTGAATACTATTGATAAATAGTATTCTCAGGCCTCAACACCATAAGCGTGCTAGTTATTTTGTACATATTTCTTTCTGTACTCGAGCATTTCTTTCCAGAATCTCTTGTAATTTGTATATTTTTCTTCTGTTTAAATTGTATAAGAGTATAATTTATATATTTTGTATTGTGTGTCTGTATTCATCTCAGTAAATTAAGCCCTAAAGTACTTATACATATGGTTTAAAATAGGGCATAAATCAGACTTTGAAACGATACTTAAATAATAATATGAACAAATTTTATAAATAAAAAAATATAAATACGTTTCGTTGATATTTTGTAACAATAGTTCACTGGGATATAAATTAACTTTTAAGGAATTCGAGAAGTATCCTAATTTAATATTCGAATATTACATTTTTAATTTTGACTCGAGATCACTAGTCGCCATAATACAATATAAATAAACATAAAAATACCTAACATCGCTGGACAACAATAATAAACTGCCCATTCAGATAAACACAATAGAAAATATTCTTAGAATTTTGAAAAGAAAGGAATAGGTTTTTGCTGGAAACGTACAGAATAATATTTTTTGTTTTGAATGTAAATGTATAATAATCATTGTGGCATACTAATAATTGGGTGTTTATGAACAAAAGTGGGAAAGGCCAACAACTCCTAGCCTACTTCTCTAAAGAGTCCATGTTGTAACTATTCTGAGACCTTAGATCTCATATTTAAAGGTGGATGGCTTTATCACTACATCGTATAAAACAAAGTCGCTTTCTCTGTCCCTATATCCCTTTAATCTTTATAACTACGCAACGGATTTTGATGCGGTTTTTTTTAATAGATAGAGTGATTGAAGAGGAAGGTTTATATGTATAATAACATCCATTAAATAGTGGAGAAATCAATAATAAATTACAGTTTCCGAAGCGAAGCGAGGGCGGGTCGCTAATTTACGCTAATATAAATATCTATGGGCTCCGGTAACCACATAACACCAGGTGGGCAGTGAGATTGTCCACCCACCAATGCAAAAAAACTATTTTCATACTTCTCCAAAGAACCCTTGGAGCCCGAACATTCTTCCACTTATCCGATTATTTGGTAGTGCGATGCGCCCACTGAGTTTCTCGCCGGATCTTCTCAGTGGGTCGCGTCTCCGATTCGGTGGTAGATTCTGCAAAGCACTGCTCTTGCTAGAACCAGTGTTAGCAACACTCCCGGTTTGAGCGCCGTGAGCTCACCTACTCGCCCGGTTACCCTGACATAGCCTCTCAAAGCTTAGGTAGGAAAAAAAAAGCGATGCTTTTTATGTCTGGAAATTAAAAATACCAAAAACATATTGAAAATGTTACTGTCCATCTATTGTACTAAAGTTAACCAAAAGAACTAATGAAAAAAGTCCCCAGTTTTATTTTATTTTATGGAAGTGTCATTTTATTTTGAATACTTTCGGTTTTCCCTAATGATCTTTTACTGAACCGCGGTAAATTTGTTATTCAGATGAAATATAACGCGTTTCTTACATCCTGGATATATAGTTAATTGCGTCATTCTCTTTTCCATAAACTTCAATTACCATGGCATATGCGTTCTTGGAAAGTGATCGTTTCGCGAGAATTACTGATAAGGGAGTCTCGTATATGTATAAAATATAGATTGGATTTTGCTATGACAGAATCATACTCTTGATCCTATCCATATTAATATATAAATCTACAATGGTCTTTACGGATGTTCTGTTATAGCTACTGAACTATTGATCCGATTGACTTGAAAGTCTTGAAACTTTGTATCCATGTAGAAAATACATGTACTTAATGGATAAGCTAATATTTATATGAGTGTTGGACTCCCTAGTAATAATGACAATAAATAATAATGTTAATTTTAAAAGCCCAGCGAAGCGGGCGAGTACGGCTAGTCTATATATAAGGCTTTTAACACAAGATTATATGTATATTTTTGAATGTTGTGACTTCATTGAGTACCTTATAAATAGGCTCTGTTGTATCTGGGATGTCTTCCTAGGTAGCATTAAGTTAGATACATTGCAAAACATTGTAACTCATCAGTGCGGAATGGGGTCACAGCCGGGTCCAGGTGATTCAGCAGCCCCTGCCGAACAATGCGTACCTCCAGCAGCTGTACAACACCCAGGGACCGCTACTCATGCCCGGGAACATAGCCTTGCATCCCGGTATCAATTCGCAACAGATTCAGGTTTGTATGAAGGGTCACTTAGTGATTTCTCGTTTTAATAATTTTGGTTTATTACAGCAGCCGAGTTTACCGTCAGCATTGTAATTAAATGGTTATTAAAGCCTTATTGTATAATATAATGTTGCCGCACACTTTCAGGACATAGTTTCAATTATATTATGCGGCTAATAATGGCTGTCGATTCCGGAAAGCATGAATGCTAAGCTATAATAACAGACAAAGTACCGCTCTCTATCTATCAATAAAGAGCGCGGCTCAGAGTTTGCATTCATGACTCTAGAATCGAAAAGTAACGTCTTCGTAAATGAGCATGTACTGCTCTGTGCAATTCTAATAAAATGTTCCAAGTTTCATGAAAGTAATTACTGCGGCACTCCTACTCACGTCCCCAAAGTTTCCGATTATATATTCTTTTCTGTTCTCAATTATTACGAATAAAGACGTAACATGGCTTTAGTTTGTCAATGATCATGTCGTCGCACGAAATAGTGCGTTTCTTGTGTACCGTGAAGCTAAGTGCTTATGTTACTATACAGTCTCGTTGATTATCGATATTTATGCTTATTTTTTCAATGAGACAATTACATCAGTCAACATGACTGATGGGCCTAGCTCATAGACATAGACCAATGAGTTTTTCGCCGGATCTTCTCAGTGGGTCGCGATTCCGATCCGGTAGTAGATTCAGCAAAGCACTGCTCTTGCTAGAGCTAGTGTTAGCAATTCTCTCAAGTTGAGCCTTTGAGTACACTTACCGGTCCGCGTGAAGTTGAAATAGCCCCTTAGGCTACCATTGATTAGATTGAAAAAAAAAACGAATGAAAAGACTACTTTTTAGTTAATAACAATATTGTGTAAGTAACCGTTGTGTGTAGCAAATAATGTTATTTCATTACGTTATTTACTGAGTACAAGGTACAAATAATAAATTTCGTCAGAGCTTTCATATTGAGTTACGCCCACGTGATGTTTTGAAAATATCTTTTGTATATGATTACTTCGCTAATTGGATCGACGGCAATGAACATTCACTGAAGGTTCCGTTGAATTTCTGTTAAATAAAGACAAGTTTATAAATAGTCTCGTAAATTTGTGATTTTATATATTTAGGGATTAATTTATTTGTACATTTAAAAAGAATTGTCTGGTAGATTCTTCAAAAAATTATTTATTTATTTTTTATTTACGTTGTAGGCAGACGAGCATACAGCCCACCTGATGGTGAGTGGTTACCGTCGCCCATGGACTTCAGCAATGCCAGGGGCAGAGCCAAGCCGCTGCCTACCTATGTATGATATGATACCTATGTATCATCATACGCTATGTATGATTAATTTATATTTCATTTTATTCATCCGATAAGCCTAAAAGGATAAGCTCAATATGAATACATTATTTTTATTTTCGCGGTTATCTACATTACCTATATACGGAATTCTTATCATAATTTTTAGTTTTAATGAGTTCCCGCTAAAACGATGATACTCTTTGACGTGTAGACGGGGGGGGGGGGGGTCGCTGGCTATCGAGAACTAATTACATCTAAAAATCACAATAAGAACCGGCCGACTTTTTTTAAATACTTGATATTCAATTCACGTTCTTAGTACTCGCATTTAAAATTATTTAAATCTATTATTATAATTAAAAGGAATTTTACGTGTAACAAGTTCGATATATTTTTAGGTAATAGCTGCGGGAAAGCCTTTTCAAGGCAACCAGCTCGGTCCGCACATGTTAACGACGCAGGGCAAACAAGTACTACAGGGCCAAGCAGGTGAGTTCGAATCTTTATTAATACCTAACAATTGTTATGTTTAATAACATATATAAATAAATTTAGATCTCAAAAAAAAAAAGTTTTTTTTAAGTAGATAACAAATATCTAATTAACTTTGTTACATTACAAAACTAGAATTAGAAATTAAATTAAACTCATCAATGTTTATTATTTTAATATCGACGCTTGAAAGGCAAACGTGACTGAGCGACAATAACTGTTTTGTACATAAATGATAGGCAATAACCATATTCGATGCGCAAAAATTTTCTGGGTCTATTAAAATCATTTCAATCCTACAGCTAGATTCGTTAAAATATTTTTTTTTTCAGGTATTTCTCATGTATATTTTAAATTAATTTCAACTTTAAATTAGTCTACTGTAAAGTTCACGCATTGTCGCTTAGTCACGTTTGCCTTTCAAGGGTCGATATTAAAGTAAAATATCGAAATTTCGTATACAATAAAAATAAATAGTAGGCAAGATTTTTTCACTTTTTTGGTGGGATATACACACGTTACAGTAAAATCGTGTAGTTGAGAACATTAAAACGGCAAAAGGTTAGTGCTCGCAAAATAAAACATCTTCCCGTGTATGAAATACCAGTATATCCTTTTCAGGTGTGTGTGTGAGCAGCTTGCAAATATATATTTTTTACGTCTTCATACTCCATCCACACGACCACCATGCTTTAAACACGACCGAACGTTTACAGCTTAGCTTTATTTACTTACACCTTTAATAGGAATCTTTAACTGGAACTTTGACAAGTTTCAGATATGATTAAAACCACCGTTAATTTTCGCTTTTATTGTGCTCATTTTATAATAATTTCTGAAGAAAAATAAAGGTGAATATAGAATTTTACCTCGATGATATTATTATTTTTTTAATCACCATTGACACATAAAAGCTTGTCACGATTTATTTATATACGACTTCGCTAAATAAAAGGCTTCGTCTATTGTAGAAGAGCAGTTAAGAAGCTATATCGAGTCGGAATAAAACCTTATCATAAGTTACGATTAAATAATCGCAACGTTCTGGTTATTCTAGGATATACACGGAGTTGACGTAAATCGGTCCTCGGGGCCTTAAATTTTATTTTTCTGTTGAATATTTTTCATACATTTCATTTAACGTGTTCACGTTTTCAGTCATGTTTCCAACTTTTCCTAGTGTGTTTTTTGTTTCACTACTATCTTTGCCCATTTTTACGTAAACTGTATCTACGTATTTTTTTGTTTTCGTATAAGAACTTCCACACTATTTAGTTTTACAGTAAATTTTACAGGTCTTACGGCATATCAGGAACAAGGTTTATGAATACTTTTAAAACTTACCCTTTCTTTTTGGTCTCGTGGTATGTCTGGCGTTTTTAAAAAGTCACGATAATGAATGAGGGACATTGTTTTAGGTTAAGCATAATATTATTAGTTTCGGCGGGTAGTAGTTATGTATTATTATTATTTCTCAGCTTTTTTTCGAACACGTACAAATTTTTTATAGCGATAAATTTCAATCATACTTTTAGGCCGCAGCTTTTATCATTTTGTTTCGATCGATTGCGGACAAAGCTTTTCGTTCTTTAGCTTCATAAAAATAATACATTTTTTTTATTTTTTGCTCGTAATAATGTAAATACAACTAGGAATAACATTAATTGTTGATTTTGATCAATAATTACGTAATAATAAACTTCGTCGTCGGGAGTCATCTATCGAAAAATTCGATGAAACACAAAAAGACAAATCAGAATACATTTGGTTGCGTATGTTAGTTAGGTTGCACATATTGATTGCAAGTATAGTCTTGTGTTAGAGCTTTTGTGACGTCATCGTTGCTGTTTATTGGCCGTGCAATTGATCAAGACAATTCGATTATTCAGCGCCCTTCCCCGGGTATACTACAATACCCGCGATCCCGACGACGCAGAATCAAACGTTCGTCTTCAGTTCGAACATACTGCCGGCGCACTCGCAGCCCACCGTGTCCGGAATAACTCAGCAGCAGAAACAATCCGACATGCATAAGGTAAACATCGAATATTCTAGAATAGTTTTTTTTTTTGTTTCTTTTATATACATATATATTCGACCTAATACTTGCTGTTTGTTTTCCTAACATCAATCAATAAACATTGTTTACAACAACAAAAAATACGTCTAGTTATTTGTTTTTCGAGAAATTTTCCTAATGTTTTTTCTGGGTTGACTTAAAATACGATTGATAGTTGTTTTTTTTTAATTCGAAAATGTATTCTGTTTTATTCCACAACAAAATCAAAACACCTGGGTCAGTTGTATCGGATATTTTATTAATATTTAACATAGCATTAACAATAGCATTTAAATAAACAAAAACTATTGGATTGTTTTAACTTGAGTTTGAATTGAGGCCTGTTACGTGTGTAAAAGAATAATTGAATAAATAATATTTCAGTCGTAGCGTAAATATACCGATTCGACTTCTTACTTAATATTTTGGAGTGTTTTTCAAATCGCTTAAAATTTAGATAAATCATTCAAATTCGCGACCCGATTGTTGAAATTTCCTGTCTGGGGCTATTTTTAACTTTAAGAGAGAAAAAAGTCATGATAAATTCAATGTCGCTTGATACGGTCAAGGCTAGGGAACTTTTCTAGAACGACGTTTTTAGGTTTTATCTCATTGTCGTCATCGATACGTATCGACCATGATGTACGTTGTCTGTAAGGTAGTCTAGAAATATTCAGTATCGATTTGATCCGATTGATATTATCAGTAGTGATTGATTCCTATAGTGATACACATGTCAGCTAAACTGCTATAACGACTATCAAACGGGTAGTAAACTTGTAAAGTCGTTAACGAACCTTAATCAGTGCAAAAATAAAAGCAATTTTTTATACGAACATTTGGTTAGTAAACGATTATAGTAGTCGCAATATTAACATATGGAAAAGTACACCATCGAGGGGTGAAATACGCGACATTTGTTTTTGTAATTAAAGATTCGATTTATTTGCATCAACAATTCGATATGTTTTCGTTTTGACGTCACTTATATTTACCTCATTCCCAATAGCTGAAGAAGTTTTTTTTGTTATGAATTTTTTTAACTAAAATTGTTTGGAAAGTAGTCCTTTAAATCAAACAGCCTGCGATCCCTTGGCCTAATTTTGGTTCGAGAACGAAGACATGCAATTCGGGATTCGAATTTACAACAAAATATTAATGTTCTGTAGTGCGGCGGTAAGGTGACCGGCGGGAAGGTCGCCAACGCTAATGCTGGCGGGAATCAGACTGTTCCCGTTCAAGCTCAGTGCGTCCAGGTGTCGCAGCCGGTACTCAGTGCTCAACAACCTGCGCAGGCGCAGATCATCGGGCCCCTGCAGGTGAGATACATTAACAGACCCCACCACTATTAAACTACTGATCGAATTTAATAAAGTTAAAATTCCGATGCTTAACGCTTTTGAGTATGATTTTTTTTTTGGTATTCGATTACATTAGAACTTTATTTAATTCAATGAGTAACTTCAATAAATAAATGTACAGGTAAAAAATTTATTCCTTCAATTTCAAAAAAGGAGAATCCGTTTGAAACTTTCAGTCGAGAACGATTCTCCTTTTTCGAATTGCAATATTAGCAGCCGGACACCTTTCAAAATTTGCCGCGTAAAATATAAAAAGCAGCTAAACACAACTTCGTTATGCGTGACGTCATTCGTGGCCAAAATAAACCACGATCTAACGGTAAAACGATTATGCATTCCACGCTGATCGAAATACCGATCCGAATATTATATATTAATTTATTGGATGGTCGTTTCGATTCAGTTAAAATAACAAATATATTTATTATTATTTTTACAAAAAAAATGTCTCGTTGCTGTGTCCGGTTGCCTAATTTCGTACAATTTGTAGATACGAAAGTGCCTACAGGTATTCACATTGTTTATATTTTGAATATACATATGTATATTTTTTTTTGCGAAAATCTTATTTATGTCAGTGCAATGCGAAATACTTTTCGTACCTACTGATCGTTGAATTGTGTTGTGATGTCTTTTTTTTTTGGGTTATGTTTGTAACAGGTGCCTTATTTGTTTTAATTATCGAACACTATTTCGTGCTCGATCTACATCTGTGAGTATATTTTCAATTTTAGATCCACCTTAGCTTGAAGTGAATTTTTAACCGACTTCAAATCAAACGAAACGGCTTCACGATTCAGAAACTACGATTTTTTTGGATTCCGATAGTGTTTCATTGTTTTCGATAATCCAAATTACTCGCCCGTTTCGCTGGGCATTTAAAATAAAACATTAATATTATTGTCATTACTATTAGGGAGTCCAACACTCATATAAATATTAGCCTATCCATTAAGTACATGTATTTTCTACATGGATACCAAGTTTCAAGTCAATCGGATACATGGTTCAGTAGTTATAACGGAACATCCGTAAAAACTACTGCAGATTTATATATTACTATAGATTGTGTCGATATATAAAAGAGAAAAAATGTAGCAGTGCCATCCCTGTTGTCGAGAAAACGAACAATCGAATAATCTCCGGAACTCGGTCGCTATTAATTTAAGCGGAATCCGTGTTGCGCGTTCCCCGTCCGACCGCAAAACAATATTCGGTCTGCAACTTGAACAGTAAATAAAACTAAAAGGGGGTCGTCGCTCGAGTCAAAGGTCGGATTAATCAATTTAAGCGCGCGGGTGTGTAGTGCGAGCGAGCGATTAGTTTTTCTTTTTGACGTGACAACGTCTTATAATTCGATGGAGCCGGCTGCACGCACGAAAAAACATGACTCATTGAGGCGTTCCATTTAAGGCTTGAAGTGCAAGCGAGAGCGCGCAACGAGCGACAAAGAGGCACAATCGGCCTCCGCGTTCGGCAGCGTTCGACATCTGTCTCTCTCCTACTTGAGTGAGCGATGCATCCGCGTGGACAGCTGCTATACAACAATACATTTACATGTTTTCGTCAAGTATGAAGTTCGGTGAAAAGTGAATGTGGTGTCAATTGTCCATACAAAATATCTATCAAACAAATAAAAATAAAATTTTCTTTTGAAAAATGAAACCATTCCATCAGTATTTTCTTATGACGTTGTCACGTTCAACTATCGTCAGTAAGCCGACTTTACAGACAACCGATTTTTTTTTGGAGTTTATGGCCTGGTAGCTAGACCTTTAGGCCAGTCGAGCGATGAGTAATGTGTATCGGTGTTCCTCAGACCGGTGGACAGACGATGCAGTTCGCGCCGTGGCAGATCTCCGGAGCTCTGCCGCAAGTGTGGGCGGGGGGGCTCCAGGCTGGCACTCTGCCGGCGGGGGGCCTGCTCACCCCCAACCCTATATTCATAAGGGGAACTCAACCGGACGCGCCCCCCTCCATGTTCATACAGCACTCGCCGCAGAACACTGTCCACCACAACAGTTAGTATGGTTTACATTACAAGGCCTGATTTACACGGAACCTTCTCGAACACGACCGGCCGAGAATATCGTACGTGATGCCGCGATGAAAGAGTGTACTAAACTCGTAACGATATATTGATAATATTCTTCTCTTATATTCTCGTTAGCTCGTATGCGAGAAAACTGTATTTGTGTAAATCAGTTTTAACATATATATATTTTGTAACGGTGTCGGTTCGTGTTTTTAACAATGCGAAATGCTATGCGACATTTGAACTTATTGTATAACGAAAGCTATGCACGATCGTGTACTGTGTTTGCTAACGCACTTAACGTACTAAAACATTTAGTTGTTATTCTGTACAGAATACGTTTGTCAGTACATGTATGTAATTGAGATAAACGATTTTTTTGTATTTATTTATTACAGGCGTGAGCGTAGCGTGTGCGACGCCCACTACAGCAAAGCCGCGTGCTTCTGCCGATGGGATTTCGAAGGCTCCCCGTCCGCTATCGAACATCCTGCCCTCTGGTGGGATCAGACCTAACTCAAATGTCTCCACGCAAACGAACGCTAATCAAGCTCAGAACCAGGTACGCTGCCGTCAAATCTTGGACATCGCTTCTTCTTCTTCTTCTTCTTAGTCGCATACTTCATTGTTGAAGGTCGTGTCCCTGAAAGCCCTTCGTGGCTCTTTGTACCATCACCTTCCATTTCCTTCGGTTTTCGGCTTCTCTCAGGGCGGTCTCAACAGAGAGTCCAGTGAGCGCAGTTATCTGATCTGACCAACGGCTTGGTGGCCGGCCGGCGGGTCTTTCCCCTTCTACCCTGCCCACCACAGTCAATTTTTCAAGGCTGTCTGGTGACCGCCGAGCAATGTGACTAAAGTAACCAAGAACCTTCTGGTAGCAAATCGTCGACAGTCTCGTTTCTATGCGAAGTTGCTTAGCAATCAATAAAGTATATTTTCCAACGGCAATACAATTAGCGGGAATAAAATACGATGCTTGAACACACAGGCAAAGCAGCGCGGCAAGCCAGGCGTGAGGTCTCCGGCTCCAGCTAATAAACAGGATGCGGCCAATCAGACGAACAAAATGCAGCATCAGATCCAACAGCCGAAACAACAGTGAGAAATCAAATTATAAGACACGTTAATTTTCAACAGCGTGAGTCAGTAGTTGCCTCGCGTCCCGGATAGATGTCGCTACATATCGACGATCGCCTTATCACGAATCTTTTAAAAAATACACATATTTCAACATTATTTCAATACACCACTAAAATAGATGCAGCCATTTTGGAGTTCTACAGAAAGTATTAGATATTCGGTGTAGGTTTTTTTTTTTGTTTTAACGTTGGCCTGATATTAAACACTTACCGGGAATAATCAACAAAACCATTTAAAAGTCGCAATCAACTATGACACAATAATACTTTTCTACCTTCAAAAACCTCGAACATCGCTTCCATTATGAATTAAGAACAATTATGTACAAATAACTAGATAACTATGAAGTTTCATGTATTTCATTATCAAGTAAGTCCACGCGGTTACAAAAATCAGACCAATTTAAATGTAATCAGTGCGATTTTAGCAGCCTTGAAATCCCCTACTAATTTTTATATTGTACTTTCTACTAATTTCTCTAATGTAAAACGTACTCAACACATGTCCACGAATTACTTCCACGATGACGGAATATAATCGTGTAAAATATAATCCAAAAACCGCAAAATTATAATTTGCGTAATCACTTAAGGGTAGGTAGTACTGTTCTTCCTGAATCTGTCACAAAGCAATTCCGTTTCAAAGCCGGGACGGCCTGGGACAATACAATTAAAAATTTTGACCTCATGTCTCATGTGAACGGCTGCGTTCACGTTGTGACGTATACATCATAATATAATCATAACAATAATTAAGTTATTATACGAAGGGAAATGCCAACAATGTATATCGCATAACGAACGCGCGGGATTTATCATCAAAAGAACACGATACGCCAATAGCGACCGCTAATTTGTGTTCATTGAACAATAATTGATTCGTTGATTTCAGATTGTTAGTGATGAACTCGTCCGGTCAGATGGCGCAGATAACGAGCGTGCAAGACAAACAGGCTCTGAACAAGAACCTCCAGCAGCAGGCTTTACTCCAACAACAGATACAAGTAACTAATTAGTAAAATTTAATTGGAGCCTATAAACATTTGAATTATATAATTTACTAAATTTTAGAGCAGGGGTTCCCAAACTTATTTTGTCTACTACCCACTTTAAAAATAAATTATTTATCAGCGCCCCCATTTTTTCACCTACTTAAAAATCACTATAGCGAGAGCTCAGTCGGTGTCTAAATCCGGTCATCGTCCCGTCGCTTGTGACGAAGGGACAAGTAAATTAACTCTCAGACACAACCCACTGAGTTTCTCGCCGGATCTTCTCAGTGGGTCGCGTTTCCGATCCGGTGATAGATACTGCGAAGCACGACTCTTGCTAGGGTTCGTGTTAGTAACGTCGTCAGATTTGAGCCCCGTGAGCTCACCTACTAGTTAAGGTTACGCTGATATAGCCTCTCAAGGCTTTCAGCTTAGGTAGGAAAAAAAGGGTGTCTAAGAGTCCTCCGAGATGAAATTACAAATCACGTCCCAAGCCTCAACACAACGACCCCTTTTTTTCTGGGTCTCTTACCGCCCATCCGTTAGGCCTGCAGCGCTTACAAGGGGACGTTATCGCCCAAATTGGGAAATGCTGTTTTAGAGGGTATATATAAAATATGGAATGCGAATTTGAATTACTTAGAGAAAGCTTTGTTAGCCCGCACTATCTAACCGCTGTGACGGATAAGATGACCGTGTAGTTAGTTCATTTGAGATTTTGAGATCCTCGTCTCTCGCGGTAATAGTCTACATTCACGTCGCATCAGCTATGGTAACCACTTCATACTAAGTAAGCCTTGATCTAGTCTAGCAGAAACAAACAATATAAATGAATAATTTCAATAAATGAATGTATTTTTTTATAACGATAGCTAGAACAAAACGTTTGCTACTCAGTCCTTTGACTATTTGTATATAACTAAGGGAATTGCTCATTTCATTCCAACCATTAATGACAAAAGTGGTGGGACTACATTACATAGATCTACGATTTGTTATACCACAAAGTGTTAAATATTTTTAGCTAGAGCTTAAGTCTAGGATAAACTACACTGATTTCTCTACACATAATATTGATCTCCTGGGTGGAACATATGCTATTCGAGGGGTATCCTGCTTAAGATGCTATAGCTACACAGTATGTGAATAGGTTTATTTCCCCTCACAACCCGCAAACCCACTCAGTTGGTCTTTAACAGACAAAAAATGATAACTTTTATTCTGTCTCATTCGATAGCAACAGCAGCAGTCATCGGTTCAACAACAACAGCTGTTGCATCAACAACAAACTCAGCAAATGGTGCAACATTATCAACAGCAAGGTGAATTTTTATTTTGATTGATTATCCACATATGATAACCGCCCTCAACGCTTTGCTGAGACATATTTTCTAATCTCAAATTGGTTTCGTTTGTAACTGAAGTTCACGATATTAATAAGTTAATATTATTGAATAGAATAGACCACATATCAAAAATCGTGTAAGTGTATTATTAAGTGTAAGTCGTGGTGGTCTAAAGGATAAGACGTCCGGTGTATACGTATCTAGCGATGCACCGGTGTTCGAAACAAATTTTCTAATGAAATACGTACTTAACAATTGTTCACGATTGACTTCCACGGTGAAGGAATAACATCGTGTAATAAAAATCAAACCCGCAAAATTGTAATTTGCGTAATCACTGGTGGTAGGACCTCTTATGAGTCCGCACGGGTAGGTACCACCACCCCGCCTATTTCTGCCGTGAAGCAGTGATGTGTTTCGGTTTGAAGGGTGGGGCAGCCGTTGTAACTATACTGAAGCCTTAGAGCTTACATCTCAAGGTGGGTGACGCATTTACGTTGTAGATATCTATGGACTCCAGTAACCACTTAACACCAGGTGGGCTGTGAGCTCGTCCATGCATCTAAGCAATAAAAATAATAATTACGAAATCAAATTTCGAAAGGATATCTATTTGAATAAGAATAAGATTAATATAATTTGTAACAGACATTTGCATGTTGTATCAAACGTAACAAAGTTGCGCTTTGAACGCAGGAATGACGCTGGGCATGCAACAAGGTACTCAGACTCTGCCCATCGCTGGGATGCCACAAACCATATCAATGGTGCAACAAATACATCCTGTAAGTAAAATAATCATGACCAAAATCTATATATATATAAAAATGAATTGCTGTTCGTTAGTCTCGCTAAAACTCGAAAACGGCTGGACCGATTTGGCTAATTTTGGTCTTGAATTATTTGTGGAGGTCCAGGGAAGGTTTAAAAGGTAGATAAATATGAAAATGCTCGGAATTAAATAAAAATAACAATTTTGTTTTCCCTTTGATGTGTCCCCCGTCGGACGGATTTTTTTTGTTTGTTTTAAGTTTATTTTATAAAAAAGTTTAGATCTTTTATTTATCAATTGAGGCACTACGAAGTCTACCGGGTCAGCTAGTAAAAACCAAAAATATGTACAATATAAAATTTAATTACAACGCCATCTGTTTGTCAATTTCTATTAAATAACGGAATGCATGTTCAAGTAAACATACATCTGTTTTATTTTTGTTAATAATATAATTATTGATTAATTTTCATCACCAAATTGTAATTGCTAGTGGTCCCACAGTAGTCGAAATTCGACTATAATTAATTGAAATTATAAGTTTGAACATTGTTGCGGTTCTATTGTCAGAGACTGTTTATTATATGTGCTTCCATAATCAAAGATTTCGCCAAGACTATAGACAAATAATTTTAAAGATAAACATTATTAACCTATACTCAATTTGATCGCAGACTTTAAGCAATAACAAAAGATTGACAGTAAATAAAGAATATATAGGTATATATGTGTGTGTGTGTGTCAAATACGGTTGTTTGTGTAATGTTTTTTTTATTGATTTTATGTATTATTAATGCATAATTAAAAAAAAAAAATTAGCATTCTGCACACCTTCTCTATATTCTCTATAAGTGTGAGAAATTTCATACTGCTTCGTCCGCGCAATTTTTGTAAAAAGGTATATTAAGGGTGTAGAAGAAATAATATTTCTGTGAAATTCTGCCAGCTTGGAGCCATGGGTCAAGCCGGTACAATAGTCGGGCAGCTGAACACAACACAGACCGCGCAAAACACTCAGATGACACAAGTTCAAACACTCCAGCAACAACCGCAGGTGAGCCAAAATAACATACCCTGTCCTGTACCCGATCCTATAGACCGAATGGTAAACAGTCGACGTCGCCCAAAGCACGTCAATACGGATCCTCCCGATCCATTAACGGTGCTTTTAGGTACCACAAGCATCGGTTACCGTTCTCGTCGAACCCATCGCTTGCGACGAAGGGCTCGACGAGCGAATTAACCCACACACACACACAGCCCACTCAGCCCACTGAGTTTCTCGTCGGATCTTCTTATTGGGTTGCGTTTCCGATCCGGTGGTAGATTCTGCGAAGCACGGCTCTTGCGGTCAGTGCTAGCAACACTCCGGTTTGAGCCCCGTGAGCTCACCTACACGTTAGGGTGAAGCTGATATAGCCTCTCACGGCTATCAGCATAGGTAGGATAAAAAAAACCAAAATATTTGATCATAAACGATTTGGTTTTATGATTCTAGAAAAATTACGTTTAGAGATTTGTCTTTGAATGTTTGTTGACGTAATCACGGACGAATCGACGAAAAGTATGTAACTGGTGAGAAAGTATCTCTTGTGAATCCGCACGGGTAGTTACCACCACCCTGTCTATTTCAGCCGTGAAGCAGTAATGCGCTTCGGTTTGAAGGGCCGCAGTGAGCAGCCGTTGTAACTATACTGAGACCTTAGAACTCATATCTCAAAGTGGATGGCGGCATTTACGTTGTAAATGTCTATGGGCTCCAGTAACCACTTAACACCAAGTGGGCTGTGAGCTCGGTAAAAAAAAAGCAGTTATTGCCTTCTAACTAACCGCGACTGGAATTAAAAATCACCAACAAAGTTTATTAGGCAATATTTTGTTCAGTATACAAAGCATAACGGTGTGACAATTGTATATATTTTATAACATACCAGAATAAACCATTCCATGGTTATATTATAAACATAAAAAGAATTTTCATTAAAATTTGGCGTAATCACTGTCACTTCAAGATTAATTTAATGTATTTCATTTTCTCATTCGTTTTGTTAATAACATTAAATTTATTCTTGTAAAGGCGGAAGGGGAAAAGTGACAGAGAACATGAATGTACTCGTGTCCCAAACAAATATAGAGCGATAGATATTGTTAGGTGGGACATTGATGCAATTATTCAATATTGTGAACATTTTATTCGATCTGTCTCCAATCATATTACGGGCGTGCTAACGACTTGTTCAAACTATTCGGTTTTGAGGTTTTTACTATTTATGAACAACGAACGTAATCGATAGTCAAATGAAATGTTATAGTACTGCAGTTTTTGCTAAGTTAGTTAGAGTACCTTCATGAAATGTAATTTAACTAACATGATATGAACTCAATGTTTTAAACTTCGAATGTACATCATTTTATGGTAGTTTCTAGAGGAAAGTCCTCTAGGAAACTTATTTAAAAATGGAATTGTATAATTCATGAGTTCTAAACTAAAGCTGTGACATACTTGCAGACCCTCGTTGGCAATGGATTGGTCCAGACATCTGTCGGGATGGCGGTGCAGCAACAAACCACGCTCAGCCACGCTACCCCCATGCAAGCGGTAAGATATTTTACTATCAGCCGACCACAAATAAATAGTAAATGTTATAATGGACCAATAATTGATCAAACGCTTTGACCGAAACTAATGTTAGTACTGTTGAAGACACATACAAAATAGCAATTCGTCAACCACAGCATAGATAGTGTAATGCTTGCAAAATTCGCTTAAATGGGTTAACCTGTGTTCGGGGTTTGTGAGCAGTATGGGTTAGTCTGGGTGTGCGCAATATCAGTGAACTTAGTTCAGTAACTGTATTATTGTGATCAAACGCATGTCGAGGTGACATTCTGTTTACAAAGTAATGCATTAAATTGTTTCGACAATAATTAATTGAAATTACAAGCTTATAAACTATTATGATTCTATTGTCAAAGATTATTATACTTTTATAATCACAAATTTCGCTAAGACTACTTACTACTCTTTAGACAAATATTAATAAAGACAAACAATATTTAATCTTTTTTTTTTTTTTTTAAGAGATTTTATGACCTGGTAACTAAGACCTTTAAGTCATGTCTTATTTTACTTTATATTCTTAATTTTATGAAAATGATAATATGGAGTGAAATGAAATGAAAATGATTAATTTGAGACATTAATCAACTGAGATGAAATTTAATGAAATGAAATGATATGGGATGAAATATAATCGCAGTAAAATGGTGGTCATTTACTGAGATTTTTTCAGTGGACTTTTTGGAGGAACCCGAGAAGTTACGTCAATCAGCTTTGTTTCATTTTCCCACATTTGTGCACTTTCACAGATATTAAACAGTTAATAAACCACCATTATTACACATTTAAACCTGAAGAAACACTAAATAGACAAAATAAAACAAATCACACAACTTCACTCCTCGCGTTCCCCCAATATTTAATCTATTCTCAATTTGACCACAGACTATATAAGCAATAAGAAAAGTTTGACATTAAATAGATAGTATGTTTACGTGTGTGTATCAAATATGATAGTGTGTAATGTTTTTTTTTAAACAGCACTCTGCACTCTTCTATATTCTGTATAAGTATGGGAAATTTCGTACTCCTCCGTCCCCGCAATTTTCGTAAAAAAAGGTGTACAAAGTCTTCGGTTCACGTATTAATATATAGATAATATATGTACATCGGTTGTATATTGGTAACACTTCGGCGCTGAGTGTTGGTAACGTTGGCAGCCGGCGATCACGTTAGAGGGCGCCTCGCTGCTGTCCGCTCCCCTCGTTCAAGTTTCACCGGCAATCTTACAACACGAGGTAGTAGTAATAAACAAGTCGAAATCATCAATTTCGCATCATCACAAAAAAATCTCGAAATTTCTTTTTCAGTTCGTTTCATGTTCGTTGTCAATAGAGGTTTTATTAGATTTTGTCCCAAAGATAATATATTATCGCATGTAATACGCATGAGTTCCGTTCATGAAACCATTAAATTTATTGTTAATGTTAACATACTGAATTTTGTTATGTGATGCTTACGTAGACTGAACTACAGAGAGCAAATTAATTATTTAAATACTTTTTTTTTATCTACTGTCGCCACAAACTAAACATACAGTAATAAGGAAAGTCTTGACCCATGTCGAATGTCCACTCAAATCATTTCGCAATGGGTCAAGCGATTTTATTTTTCATTAAAAGATACCTTAACGATTTCATCTTATTATGTAGTTTATTCGATATTAAAGTCACTACTGTCGCTAAGGAATATCTTACAAAATTAAACGTACAAAGCTTATAAATCTCGTAATTAATATGAATTATAATTCAAACGTCACATATTATATAAATGCACAAATATTTTATATATTATTATGTATATATCAGAATGCTATAATGATAATAAATATATCTTGCAACTAATAGGGAAAAGTTCCGTATTTTTGTCTTTGATAGCTATGATTATTTTATTAATGGCTTTTTAGTGTGGTAATTAAACATTAATTTATACATACGTTATGTTTTGAAAGAATGGCTTACATTAGATTTCTTTAAAGAGTAGACTAGTAAACACTAGGCTTACTAGTTTAGCAACAAATATATATTTGAAACAAACTCTTTAAACCTCTTTAAACTTGTATTTTTTTATATATAATATATATTTGTAAATATGTGTATGATAGAAGTTTATATATTTTATAGAATTTAGTTTTGATATGTCTGTCCGTAGAAAAATAATATCCTTAAGGTTTATTATAGAAATAAGCAATGCACTCCATATGATATATCATGGCGTAGGTGGTATAGGTTTACCTACTGAACTTAACTATTTTGTGTAAACAGTGGTATCATAGTTATTTTCCAAGATAGAAACAATGCGCAAAAGGCTGTCATATAAAAACAATAAATGAGACGAACTCAAATTATCTATATATATATATATATATATATAAAAATGAATTGCTGTTCGTTAGTCTCGCTAAAACTCGAGAACGGCTGGACCGATTTGGCTAATTTTGGTCTTGAATTATTTGTGGAAGTCCAGGGAAGGTTTAAAAGGTAGATAAATATGAAAACGCTCGGAATTAATAAAAAAAAACAATTTTATTTTTCCTTTGATGTGTCCCCCGTCGGACGGATTTCTTTTGTTTGTTTTAAGTTTATTTTATACAAAAATTTAGGTCTTTTATTTATCGATTGAGGCACTACGAAGTCTGCCGGGTCAGCTAGTAAATTCATAAATATCGAAATATTGTAGACTAATTGTCTGATTTGTTCAGGGTGCGGTTGGACTTATCGCTGCACCGGTCCAAGGGTCAGTGATGCCGATGCAGACATCGACCGCCATGGTGGCCCACGTCAAGACCGAAGATGATAAATCTCAACAGGCTGCTACACCGGTAAGAGGAGTAAAGTACAAGCCATAAAAATGTCAGTAACTCCACAAAAAATGTATATAATTTAAAAATAAACGCTTTAATAGCGAGCATAATAAATAAATAAATAAAAGTTTCCAATCCTGGTAATCTTGATCAGACTATTAGGTTAAAATACTTAAAATACTGTAGTGTCATCGATCCTTGGTACACGTCCAAACTTTCTGAAAGATGCATTTACATAGATAAATATATAATAGATATATAAAACAATAAACTTAATTTGTAAATTTTGTGGAACCGTAGTTCAATATTAAACATGCTCTCACATCACTATTACATATTATATGTATCGTCTGTGGTTATTATCGAGTATCTCTATTTAAGATGGACGTTACTTTTTTTTAAATAAAAGTGTTCTACACGCTCTATAAAAATAACAATTTAGTTTAGCAAAATATACAATTAAACCGAGAAACATGTATTAATTTAGAAAGGCTTTAGAAGAAATAAACAATTTAGTTCATACTCGTTTCTTAGTAGAACTGTGAGAGAGCTCTTTCTTTCTGCCGTAAAGCAGTAATGCGTTTCGGTTTAAAGGGTGGGACAGCCGTTGTAAGTATACCTGAGATCTTAGAACTTATATCTCAAGGTGGGTGGCGCATTTGCGTGATGTCTATGGGCTCCGGTAACGACTCTTAACTCCAGGTGTGCTGTGAGCTCGTCCACACATCTAAGCAATAAAAAAAAAGGTATACTAACAACTAATCCTAAAAAGAACGCACACGAAATTTAATCGATACATTGTCTCTCCATTAGGTCCGATTTCATTCGAATACGTATGTACAGGCGCCCGTGCAGCAGATCGCTCCGCAACAGCAGATGGTCGCCGAGTCGACAACGGATGCGGCCGTATCCGCGACGCCAATCATAAGCTCGGCCGCCTCCGTTCCGAACAACACCGCCGCGGTCACGACCGTCACTACGGCCGACGCGTCTATCTCCACCAGCACATGTATGGGTGAGTGACTTCTAATATACATATATCTTTTTCCTTCTTCTTCTTCTTTGTCGCTTTCTTCATTGCTGAAGGTCGTGTCCCTGAAACTTGACCGTGGCCTGTCTCGTGAACTGTTTCCATCTCGGCCGGTCCTCGGCTTCTCGAATGGCGGTTGCGACTGTATCTTTATATATTATTATATATCTTTATATATATTTTTCCTAATAAATACAAAGTTAGGCGGTTATTGCGGCCGTGAAAGCGTGGGATATTAATGATAGTACCTCTTGATATTTTTCTAAGTAAATACGTACTTAACATGTGCCGGATTCTCTATTAATAAAAACTAGTGGTCCCGCAGTAGTCGAAATTCGACTATAATTAATTGAAATTATAAGTTTGAACATTATTATGGTTATATTGTCAAACACTATTATACTTCTATAATCACAGACTTCGCCAAGACTACACTATAGACAAATAATATTAAAGATAAATAATATTAAAGATAAACAATATTAACCTATTTTCAATTTGACCACAGACTTTAAGCATTAAGTAAAGTTTGACAATAAACAAATATTATGCATGCGTGTGTGTCAAATACATGGCAATGTGTGTAATGTTTTCTTTATAGATTTAATGCATTATTTATAGATTTAATAGATTTATATGCATTATTTTAAAAAATAGTAGCATTGTGCACTCTTTCTCTATATTCTCTATAAGTGTGGGAAACTTCATACTCCTCCGTCCGCGCAATTTTCGTAAAAGGGGGTACAAAGTGTTTGCTTCACGTATTCATATATAGATTGTAAAATACGTTAGTAAATGTTTACGGTTGCCAAAACGGTTTATTTAAATAAATCTTTATACTGTCATGACTTCATGACTGATTTTGAATGCAGTTTTACGACTAGTAAACAAGAAACTCACAACACAGCTTGCTTTCATCCAAATACGTCACGCAGAAAAATTACAAATTATAATTGAATCGATTCATATAATGAGGATAACTTTATTTATGAGAAACAACAGGTCTACACTAACCAAAGATCTGTGTATTCATTGTGCCCATTTAAAAGTACGCACTTTCGTGATTCCTCAGTGTATATAAGTAATTATTGTGAATTATCTAGGGCCACCGCCGCCACCAGACGCGAAGCCGATTTTGTCGAAGAAGGAGATCGTTTCGGTGGCTGACTCAACTCCCTCCTCGGTATCTCCAAGTGTGTCAAACAACTCCACTTCTGTGGCGAGCAGTGCGCAGCAAACGACCCCTATTCTACCGCAGGTTTGTTCTTAGCTTGTAAGTCCTGACGTCTAGAAACGAACAGTGTACGTATTGAGGTCTATGGACAGATTCGACTTTCAAATTGAATAACCAATTCGAAAATATCAAGCTAGATTTCATGGAAATGTCTTTAAATATTAAGAAGTCGAGTTGCCTAATTATTTTTGAGGTTTCTGTGGTTTATTTTTTTGTTAAGGAAACCCATTTATTTTCATTTAAAAAGTGATTATGTAATATATATATACTGATAGATATAGTTGTTTTATACATTTGGAGTCAAAATGTCCTATCATATTGAAGCTCTTTTATTTTGACGATTTCAGTTGATAAATCTTATTCAATACATCTACATCAATACCATGTTTCTTATATACTTAACTAAAATAAGGAAAAACTTTAATACGTGAATGATGTACAGCTGGTGACAACGTCTTCTGTGTCTGCATCCACAATGACTTCGGTGACCACAGCGTCCGTAGCTTCCGGTACATCAACTATGTTCAAGAGCACGCAATGTACTCCGCGTCATATCAGCCAAGCCGCTGCACACGGTAAGACTTGTTTATTGAGTCATTTAGTCATTGCGTCATTTTACTGGTGGTAGGATCTCTTGTGAGTCCGAACGGGTAGGTACCACCACCCCGCCCATTTCTACCGTGAAGCAGTAATGCGTTTCGGTTTGAAGGGTGCCGTTGTAACTATACTGAGACCTTAGAATTTATATCTCAAGGTGAGTGGCGCATTTAAGTTGTAGATGTCTATGGGCTCCAGTAACCACTTAAAACCAGGTAGGTTGTGAGCTCGTCCACGCATCTAAGAAAGAAAAAAAATTTGAACTTATTGAGTAGCAAAACAGGGTCTAAATGTATTGTTCTTGAAATCGTAAACAGTTTGTAGTGCGCGACAGTAAATGTTTTAAGCAACGGCATGCTATACTTAATAGGTAGTTTTGTACACTTAGCCTTGCGCGTTCAATACCAATATGTTTGGTATTCATATTTTTGTACCGGTTTCAGCTTCGGGTGATAGATATTTTCTGAATCCATCTTCTCAAATGGATATTTAAAATAGAAACTTGCATAACACGTTTTGGTCGATGTTAGTATCCTTACACTAAATCTTATGACTTTTGTTGTGGTTACAGACAAAGGGCTCCCCAAAGCTATGGTGAAGCCGAACATACTGACGCACGTGATAGAAGGATATGTCATCCAGGAGGCGGGAGAACCATTCGCGGTATTCTATATTGGTGTTATTAAACAAATTTGACAAAATAACTAGGAACTAGGAACTTACTGGTGGTAGGACCTCTTGTGAGTCCGCGCGGGTGGGTACCACCACCCTGACTATTTCTGCCGTGAAGCAGTAATGCGTTTCGGTTTGAAGGGCGGGGCAGCCGTTGTAACTAAACTTGAGACCTTAGAACCTATATCTCAAGGTGGGTGGCGCATTTGCGTTGTGGAGGTCTATGGGCTCCAGTAACCACTTAACACCAGGTGGGCTGTGAGCTCGTCCACCGACCTAAGCAATAAAAAAGAAAGAACACCGTCGGTCCTATCCGTTTTAATATTTAACGAATAGAGTGACAAACGAATTAAGAATGATTTTAGAACTAGCATTAGCGCTAGAACAGACATATTTAATAAAATAATATTGTCAAATTTAAGTTTAAATAAGTAACGGAGTGTCTTACATATCAATGATAATAAATTTTAAAAACAACTTCTAAATTAGTAATATCATGTAAAATTTCAGGTGAACCGACCTCTACGCGAATGGGCTGACAAAGAAGACAAAGAAAACAAACTGCCCAGTTCGGACGAGCCTCCACGTTAGTTGAATACACGTTTAACATACTCGCTTTTTTTTTTCTTACCTATGCTGATAGGCGAGGCTATATCAGCTTCACCCTAACGTGTGTAGGTGAGCTCTCCCGGGGCTCAAACCGGAGTGTTGCTAACACTGGCCCTAGCAAGAGCCGTGCTTCGCAGAATCTACCACCGGATCGGAAACGCAACCCACTGAGAAGATCCGGCGAGAAACTCAGTGGGCTGCGTCTGTGGGTTAAAATATTCGCACTGCAACAAACACAATGCTACCCCGCTTTAATGCCTATCAGTGGTCGCATTGTGATCACGCACGGCTTTGTATGCAAATTATTCGCATTTCATACGCCAACCACTAATGCTTAATCACACAATAAATACAATGGGGTCTCCATTCCTATCTTTGACATTTCGTTTTTTTTGCATTAAAAGTGTACAATTTCCAAAAATATTCGAAATTGAATTAAAATGCGAAATCAATTGGTATCACCAGTATTTTTCTCATAAATACTGTCAAAAGAGCGTAGTTTCGTTTTTTTTTTCCTGTATTTTGACTACTATTAACAAAATTAATACATAATTTTATTTTACTTTCAAAGACAGATGATGTAACTAATAAAAAATAAATGTTGCAAAAATGATTAATATTAAAAAATTACCACATTTTTTAAACCTTTAAAACACTCTCCTGTAAAATTAGTAAGTTTTGAGATTATACAGTTTTAACGCGAGAAGACGATTTGTTCTATGTTCCACGCAAGTAGCATTGACAAAATGATTTTTTTTGAAGTGAAAACTTCTTTAGAATCGTTGTGATTTCAAACCGGATGCAACGGAAAAAACGACAGGTAAGAGACACAAATACAAAAATGTGTAGGATGAAGCCAGCAAAGAATGAGACAGAAATATACATACTATTTAATACAGCGCCATCTGTGAGATTTTTTAATACTAACGTGTGTATGAAAGCGTTTGTAGTGAATTTTAATTTAGGATTATACGTGAAATTAAAATATCAATTCACAGAAGGCGCTACCTTACAATTATTTACTAATGACAAAATTTTACATATACTTATGACGTTTAGGATAATTGTATTTTAATTTTGGAAGGTTTCACTTCTACCACGTGTGAATTGCACACATTATTTTTTTTTGATACAGGTAAAAAGCAGATGCTGGAAGGCGGCGCCAGTTTGCCCCGTATAAGTTCTAGTAACGATAACCACGTCAGCGAATCTTCAACACAAAACGCCAATGTGAAGGCCGAGGCCTCATCTAACGTTGAGATGGCCGACTCTCAACCTACGAGTGCCGACTCTGCACAAGCTAAGATACCTAACGCTAACAAATGGACGGTAAGGAATACTATTATTTTTTTAATTTTCGAAAAGCGACTTACTGAGAGTCACTGTACCCGCAAATCAAAATTTCACGCCAGACACTACGCAATGGAAAACAAACTAGAAATGTCTTGTTGTCTATTCTGTATCTTACTCGAATTCCATTTTTAAATTTATTATATCTATTAGTGAACAAAGTTCGATATCAACACATGTCTATTTCGGTTGTTATATATTTGTGTTCGAAGTCGTTCTCCTAATGCCACTAAAGCGCTCCGCAAACTATTAAATTGTTTGTAAAATTTTACGTGGTTGTCAAATTATGTGACACTATGCAACTTTGTTTGACGCGTTTGTCAAACAGTGTACGTGTTTGACGTGTTTGATGGAAATCGTGATAGACGCTTGCTTGACAAACAAGTTTGAACGTGTACGGGGTATTTGTCAAACAAGATCTCAGTCGTCTCGATCTCGACACGACGTCTCATCTTTGGTTTGATCGTTTAATGAAATGATTGTTGATTTTTTGATGAAAACGAAAAGTTTGACAAACAAATTTAATCGTATCCTCCTCCTCCTCCTCTTCTTCGTCACTTCCTCATTACTGAGGGTCATGACCACCCTGGTCTAGTTTTTGCACCAGTTTCCTCCAATGTTGGATCGTATACAGGGCGCTTAAGACAAGGTGCTAAAGTGTCATTCGCGGCTTCACGTTATGGTGTCTACGGACTTCGTTAACCGTCTAAAAGATGAGCTCCGAAGTCATGTGCTAATTAATTAGTTCAAATAATGAAACTTAATTGTTGTCCAGGTGGCCGAAGTGTGCGAGTTCATCCGCAACATCCCCGGATGCGCCGGTTACGCTGACGAGTTCCTGATGCAGGAGGTCGACGGTGAGGCGTTACTCCTCATCAAGCCGGAGCACCTCGTTATGGCGCTATCCATGAAGCTCGGACCGGCGCTCAAGATAGTCGCCTGCATCGATTCCCTGCGGCCGGAAAGCGAACAAAACTTACACGATCACGACTAAGGTAATTATTAAAATTATTAAGCTGTTTTACTTTGTTTTAAAATACAATAATCGCAATATGTCATTTTATTTTATTTTTAACATTACCAATTTTGAAACAGTGAGTCCTTCGAGTATAATTGCTTGTTTATCTATACATGTAAATAAAATTAGAGTGTCTGTTTGTAATATTGATATAACCGCTCTTTACTACATGCATATGAATATATATACGGTACATACACCAAAATAACATTTTTTACAATTTTTGTCTGTCTGTCTGTTTGTTTGTTCCTTCGGCTGGACCGATTTTGATAAGACTCACTAATAGGTAGCTGATGATATAAGGAGTAACTTAGGCTACTTTTTTTAGACTAGCTTCGCCCCGCGGCGTCACCCGCACTTATTGTCGTACCGCGCGCAACATGGCGGGCTTCGTCTATCAATAATAAAAGTTAATGTTTCCGAAGCGAAGCGAGGGCGGGTCGCTAGTTATTAATAAATAAATATCACCTGTTGTTGTTGTAGTCCTAGAGTACCCCGCTGGTACATAGGGACCTCACAAGTTGTCTCCGCTTGACCCTGTCTAGGCTTGCTCCTTGACATCACTCCAGGTCACCTTGGCAGTCCTCATCTACAGGTAGGCCAAGTATGTACAGGGCGACCAGGCCGTAGAGTGTGTCCCTAGATATCACCTTAGATAGTGTTAATCCTATCAATTCACTGGGAACATTATTCATTAAACTTTATATTATTTTCAGTACGGCCACGATACCGGAACAACTAATGAAGCCTCCGAGAATCTAAAGTGTTCATCGTTTTATATTATTAATATTATTATTATTATTATTCTTAATCTAATAGCGTTCTGATGGCGTAGTACTTTAAAAAATATTTTTTATTATCGTTGTTATTTAAAATCATACAGTAGACGTGGGCTGTGTTACAGAAAATCGAGCTAAAAATACAATACCACAATAATATTATGATTTCTCAGTTCGTACTAATATGCTATTATAAAATAGTATATTAATTTTGCTTAAATGCTATTTAAATAATTCCGAAAGCGAACTAGAATGTTGATCTGGCAACATTTAATCAGCTATAAATATGTGTTGATTTCAATACAATACGTGTCTACTTATTTTAAGAGGTCTTCAAGAATGGTGAGCATATTTCTCATATTTAAATTAAAATGTTTATACGCTTCGTCCCGTTAGTAAAGAAAATTCGAATCACAATAGGCAAGTTGACTGATAATTTTTATTTTCTCACGGATAAGCTAAACGGAACATAAAAGCAGATAGACGGTCGTCGAAAGTTTATATTTAAATTAACCTTAGAATTGAAGTGGGTTAACTAAAAAATTTTAAAAAATGAGTTAGATACTTTAAGGGACTTATAAAAATGTATTCTATCAGTTTATAAAATTAAAATTTAATTAGAAAAAAAAGCAAAGTACACTTTCCATCATTTTAAATAAATTTTCAATCAATTACCTTAAAATTTAAGGTACTATGCATGTGCTTTAAGGCTTAAAGTATTAAAATAAAAACTGAAAAATAATAATTCTTCCATTACATTTTTGGGGTTTACAAAAAAAAAAAAACAAAATTTGGATTAAGCTACTTCAATTCTAAATTGTAATAAGTCCAGATGCGTGAAAATTGCTACTACTGCACTAGCTAATCGTGACGCTATAAGTTCGCTTGTGTAAACACTAACTCTGCGCGAAAGGGACAACCTTCGCGTGTCCCTACAAAAACATTTCATAGTACTTCGTTGTTCACTCTAAAATTACCCTTATTGCTCCAATGAATACGACGTCAGTCAACTGCCCTATTATTGCATACCATTACCGTACACTGCTTTGTTAACTCTGTTCAACAAAATCATCATTTTGTATAATATCACATCGTCACTACATACAACCCGTTCTTAAATGCTTGTTAAAATATCCAATTATTTATTGAAAATAAACGAAAAATCAATAGTAAATTTTCATGAAAAACAATTAAGTAGATAAGTTTTTTTTTTTTATTTTCGATTTACTTGATGTTCATTTATTTTAAGTCTACGTAAACTGTACTTGTTTATGTGAGGTATTCGTCATTCTTACATTAATGTGTTGGTTATTTATTTGGAATAATGGGCATGTTTAATATGGGGACAATGTCGTATGATCCGCCTACTTAGGTATAAGCTGCAATATAACTTGCATGTATTATATAAACAACTTGTCTCTCTCTTACTATCTATCTATCTCATTCGTTTATTTAAATAGTCCTATACGTTGGATAGGGACGCTGTTGTGTTCCTGGTTGCGTCTTAATTCGTAGTAGATTAGTTAATATAGGTAAACAACATTTATGAACATTTTTAGTTAATTGCTGAGTTGCATTTATGTAATATAAATAATTTACTCAGTGGTGCTGAAATTTTAAGGGAAGTTTTTTACATAAATTTTCATCCTACGATGCGCTAAAATTTACTATCAGTACTGGTGTTTGACGTAATAGGATTCCGTACTGTATTATGCAAATATTGTTTGTCATTTTTCATTTTGCCAATGGGAACCGGTGCCAAGCACTTCACTTACATGGAAATGTAATTTTAGTTCTATATCATTGCAGGCAATGAAATTGCTTTTCATCGTTTGTATGTATTTTTTTAATTTCCACAATATTATAAAAGTTATGATAACCTCCACTGTAACTGACTTGTTTCGAAGATCATTTTTATCTGTAAATTTTTTTTTTTCGTATTTAGTAAATCTAAAATCGAATCGCATATAATGATATGCAAACAACTCGGTTCAGTGGACGTCGTCTCGGAAGTCTCCAAATTAGAGACACAAAATTGAATCTGCTCATGCAAATATCGCTTTGAAACTGCTTCGTGTAAAACCTTTTTTTATCGTCTTTGGATTGGCATACCAATAAACATACAAATAATTTTTAGATCCATTATTAAATGAGTTCTAATTTAAAAAGATGTACATACGAAATTATATAATTAAAACTTTTTGTTTAGTTGACTTGCTTTGATTCTTATCAATGATCATGATGATCAATATTATTAAGGCGATGATGATTTCATTTTCCACATTCGCATTTAAGATTAAAGTCGATTTGACTCCATCGCACGACAAGAAGTGATCAGGAAAAATTCCTTTTTTTACCTTTCCCTTCAGACGACACTGCTGTTTAACTAATTAAGTATATAAATATAACTATCGCCCATTTACTACCAACGTATAAATAAAGGTTCAACCTAAATTATACTGAAACAGTGTTAACAGGTTTCCAAACGTAAGCCCTCGTGAGAACCATTCGCGATACGTACAATTATGACTTTCACAAATGCTGAATACTTAAGGTACCTACGCTCCTAGTCTCTAGGCATGTGTGGTCATGTTGGGCCACGAGAATTTTATTAAAATGAACATAATTTTTTTTTAAATAATATTGAATTCCTGTTGCATTTATACTAATCACAATTAAACACTCGGCCAATATATGATTCGTTTGTCACATAATAGTAAATTTTTTTTTAATCGAAATTACATACATAAAAGTCATTGTTAATGTGACAGATTGTGCGAGAATATGAATGAATTGATTAATCAGAGTGACTGTGTAAAATACACGAAAAACTGATCCTGATAGCTTAAAAACTAAATTCGTTTTAATTTTTATACGGAAATGATAAGATCACACATTTTGGTAGTAGAAAAATAGTAGTACCTGTGTAACGCCGTTCTTGTAAGATGTCTTTTTCAAAAGCTTATCTATCTTCTACCATTATTTAAACTCTATAATAATTTTCCAGTCAATAAAACTGGATTTCACCAATGAACGTTACTCTGGGGTAATTCGTGTTGAAAATTAGACGGCGTCCTCGTTTCATTGACTGACAAATGAGAAATAAAGGACTGTAGAATAAACACTGGCGGGAAAATAATATATTAAAAAAATTAAAATAAAATGGCGTCATGTTAACGCAACAGCTGTTTGATTTTTGTTTCGTAAATCGTTCTAAGACTGTATTATAAGAAAAAAATCTATCACCGTGTCGAAGTGTTTGCATTATTCATCTTAGGAAATTCATGGTGATTATTTATGTTTGAATGAAAACTTTGATAATGGAGCGAAACAAATCAACATGCAAATGACGTATGTAATGTAACTACGACAGATAAAAAATACTAAAACCTCTTTGAATACTTCGCATACCAAAATCACTTTATTATTTGACGATAATTAAGACTCATGTTCTCAGAATACAAGACTACTTCGCACATACGGTACTATAAAGTCACTTATGCAATTTTTATTAACACTGAACTGAGTATGAGAAAATACATTTTTTAATAGTTATTAGTGAGACGAGAGAGATGTTTGCTTTTACTGATGAAGTTTGTAGTTCATTTTATTTCTATAGCCTAGCAAAACTATAATAATATAAGAATTATATAATAATTGAATTTTCCAACGTTTCTCCTGGAAAATTAAACAATTTGCATAAGTGACGTTATCGCAACCGTATTTGCGACATATTCCAGTTATTCATGACGAAACTTAAAACGAAATAAAAAGAATTATAATTTTTTTCTTAAGTTCATTTATATTTGGTGAAATCCGGTATAAGTGTAGAAGAATACTCAACCACGTCTTTTTGTTAAAGTCCTCTAAAATAATATAAATATAATTAATAATATAGTTTAACAATATTTGCTCACGTATGCAATAATAAAATATAAACGTTGCAATATATTTTAAGACTGGATTATTGAAATTCTTTACAACACCCTAAAATTAATAGTTCGCCTCAAAGTCGTGATGACGACTACATGTTTAAATCATTTCTAGAATTAACAGCAACTGTACATTCGTTGTACATTCATTAGTTTTATATTATTTAATTTAAACATTGTATTTTACTTGTAAATATATCGTGCCAATAGAAAAATTCATTGAAAATGGTGGCTTGTATAATACGTTCACTGATTGATTGTACCCTTTTAGTCTGAGTGAAGAGAGTTTCCGGAAGAAAGAGAGAAAAAACCCGACTGCCGCCATTTTCGGTCAGTTTATCAATTGGCCCGAGTTGCGTATATGTTTTATTACAATTTATGCGCCATTCGTGTTGAATGTGTACCTGCAATTTGATTTCGTTTTGATTTAGAACAACCAGTCTAATCGATTGTGAAGACACTGCTGTTACCGATGGAAAGTATCAAAATTATGACACATTTACTTTTAAATTTTAATTATGTTAAAAGTAAATAAAATCAACACACTTTGTCTATTTTAAATGCCTACCATTATTAATTTAACTCAAATCGATTATTTGAATTCGGATCACATTCAACACTATTCGATATTTAATATTAAAACTTGTAAATGTTCGGTGCTAATTAGTTAAATTCGTATATAATTTCATTTTAAAACTACATTTGTAACGTACATTTTTTCTTTTCTTTTTTTTATGTTGTAAATAACCACAACATTACTAACTGCGATAGCATAATTTCAAGCAGTACTTTTTAAATATTCCTTGGGCTATGTATAATTACTTACTAGAATATATTATAATCGACGTTGTGTAAGTTAATCATGTAATCCACTAAGATATCTAATTGTCCTAGGCTTCTAATTAGTTGCATCTAAAATTTAATTTCTTTAGATCTGTACTGAAGGTTGCAGAATACGAAACGATCGATATTGTAATTTTTAGTGGTACTTTTATCACGTTCATTATACACGATTTAAATGTAAATATTAAAAATTAAAAATAAGTAGTTATTGTATCTTAAAATTGTTGTTCAATGTATAAAATAATATGTTACACTATCTTAATTACCTAAATCACCAAAAACAGGTATATACTATATCATTCTATAGATGATTACAAACAATTAAATATTTTAGTAATTAGGTATGTCTCGGAGATGTTTTGTAACATAATTTTCACTATGATCATAAGTTAAGCGAATATTTACAGGTATAATATTCGTTTAGTATAGGTACGTTTCCAAGGAAGGTTTTTTTAACGTATTCAATGGTCACATTGTGGAACATATTTATATACTTACGATACTTTCCACTTGTAGATGTTAGGTTTGTTTAATTAATAAGTACGTGTAGGTGTGTATCAGTTGACAATAGACTTTAATAAATAGGTTGAGCTTGAGCACTGCCATGAGATCATGTTTTTAATGCGACCACACTGTGATTATTATATTGAAACCGTGCGTTTTTGCATGTTAATGTGTTGTGTTCGTAGCTTGTGTGGTCGTATATTACGAAATAGGAATATAACGAAATTTGTCACACTTTGCTCAAATCGGTACAGAAGCATACACTATTCAATCATTAAATTAGCAAAATAAAAATAATGGAGACTGATTTGTTTTGTTGTTTTATTTCATTTAAACTTTCAACAGAACCTTCGTTTACAATAGATGATATATATATTCACGAAATACTATCAAATATGAATTATACTAACATCTGAATAGATTATTTGACTATGTAGTACAATGTGTAGAGTGTTTCCGAAAAGTAAGTCTGAAAACGCGTATGCTAAATGTTAACAGAATCAGAAATCAGTATTCTTCAGATATCTTGCGCATTTTTTTAGATGCCTTTTTTGAAATGATTAATATACGCGACATTTACTAACTATCGAAATTATTCCCATAGCCGAAACTAGAATAAAATACTAGATCGAACTAAAACATTCGTATAGTAGTTATAAATAACTTGTAAGTTCATATATTTTCATGAGCCTACAGCTAAATTATGTGAGGACGACTGGCTGCCTCCCCCGCTATCTCTTGTGACAGCAGATTCAATTCATGACAAATTATGGGGTCTTTATTAGCCCTTTCTAAAAAAACATCAAATCTATCTATCTATATCAATGTGGAGTGTACAGTTAATAACTCAGTAACACACTCAGTAATGACAGTGTCAATCGAAAAGTGATCAATTAAAATGGCAGCTCCACAGCAAATGGTGTAATTTAAAAGATAGCGACAGAAGTTGTTATAATTTTTCGATACAGCACACTTCCCTCCTTTTAGAACTGCTACATTTATATAATACTGCTTGCTACACTAGCCCTATTTTGATGGCTTTTGAGTTATAATTTGATGCTGACAATACGGGGTACTTTTTCAACTTGTCTCCCAAATTAGACTGTTCTCCTTAACTCTATCCATAAATATCACAATTACTTGCTAATCTCGGAATTAAAACGCCGATATATTTCAATTCATATTAAAAACCATATCAGTTTACATTTCGGTGTTTTTCATGACCATGATTTTTAGTGTGATCTTATCAAGTGTCACCTACATAGATTTATTTATAACCTTTGTGCGGCTTCAAAATTATTTCTAGTCATCCCGTATAAATAAATGTGCAAAATATGTATGTAATAATTTTAATATAAAATTAATTATTACCCAAATACAATGCATTGAATTTTTTTGTAATGCTGTCATTTTTATAACTAACTATTTCCCAATTAAACATTTATTAGGCTTTTTTTACAATTATATACTTTGACATATAATTCAAATTATGTATAGTAACCGGCAAACTTCTTGAGCAAATGACCTTGACTGCGCAGAACCGAATTTTAGATCACTTTGGTGGTGAGGGTGAGGCGCGACGACAGGGGAAATCGTATCGAGCGCGTTATTGGTAGATCAGTCGAACCTTTCGTCCCGCACCGCGCCCTCGTTCCGCTTGCTCCCAAAAGTACGCTTGCGTACAGTGAAAAGTCTATCGTTATTAATCGTTATTTGTTATAATTGTTTGTTGACTTTGTTGCCATTGCTATTTGTTGAGTGTTTGTTGATGTTTTATAAAAAAATACACTATGCCGCGACAAACTGGTGTAGTATTCAAAAGAAAGGGTAGAAAAATTGTGTACGACGTATATTGCTTCATTATAAAACAGGGGAAGAATGATATGGAAAAATTAAAACAGACTTCGGAAGCAACAAAAACATCCGTGAGTACTGTTAGGTGCACTATTAACGAAGCTAAAGGCTCTGGCTTGCTCGCCGTGTTTCGGACTCCGGGTAAGAAAAGATCAGGGAAGAAGAAATTTACCGGAATGGATAGTTTCGTTCAATCTGTAATAATAAGATGTAATCATAATAACTACATAACAAGCAGCGAAACTCCGTACCGTAGAAAGGCTTCGAAAAATTTAAAGAAGATATAAATTTTAATGGCTCGGTATGAAGTTTACGACGAATTATGAAAGAGCTAGGCTTCAGATGGAAAAAAAACAGAAAATAATCGGAAGCTGGTAATTGAAAAAAGTTACATTCGATTACTACGAATCGAATATCTTCAAAAAATAATTAATTATAGACAAAAAAGTAGACCGAACCGACCGAGTTGTAAACTACACCGATGATCCCTATGTCGACTCATCACGATGATAGCAACTCGGGTGATAAAAACAGTGATGATGATGGTCAAGATTATGATAACGAAAAAAAAAATTACAAATACCAGCTTCGCTTCAACTGAACCAAGACCTGGCAACAGCTCTAGTTTTGACTTAATAGAAGGAATATCTATTTTACCCCAAGATTAAATTATTACAATTATTAACCTATATTTTTTGTTGATGTTCTCACAAATATATAAATAAATACATATGTTGATTTTAATAATTTAATTGCATTATGACGCAGAGTAAATAATGTTTTTGCACGTGAGTGTACCATGCGCAAACTTACCCCCACTACGTCGACAAATGTTCAAGAAGTTTGCCGGCTATTATACATGCCTTCATTAGCTTGCTTCACAATTAATATTAGCTATTCACTATCGTCAGAAACATATTTAAGGACAACAACAACTATATAGTTTAGATTTTGATCTTTAGATCTAAAAATGTCAGTTTTATGTAATTATAGTTGTTGTCTATGGACTTGTTGCTTTTGGCGCGTGATTTCAGGCGTAATTAGGGAAGAACGCGTCACTGTGCGTGTGTTCGTCGTAACGATACATGGGATGATTGTGCTTCACGTCATATTTAGTCTTCATATCTTTGACCCGAGATTGTTTCTCGGGAAGAGGTTTCTTTTTGGAACCATCTGAAATTTTCTGTAAAAACAATTTTGTTCATTCTTCAATATGTAAACAGACTTCTTGTCAAATAGCAAACTGCATGAAAACACTGATTAATATAATATCTACTGTACTCATTCTTATGTTGTACCTGCGCAAATGTTTGCAGTACAAACAACACGGAAAATTTTACGTTGGGGACGCTGAGTCTTAAGAAAATTCTACAACATTGTATAATATTTTAATGCGCAAATTGAAAATGAAAGGTTAAACAGTTTACACTTATTCGATTAACAATAGGAGTATGTATTATATTACCCTACTATTGTCAATAAAGTCGGTCGGTCTTTTCGCTGGCAGCGGCCTGATCATCATCTTCGTCTTTGACAGGGGATAATTCGGAACCTTAAAGGATATCCAATAGATGGATTGTCCTTTGTTTTCTTCAGTTGTAGTCGAATATTTTCCATTCAAATTGCTGTGCAGAAATTATTACTTATAAATAAATTAGCTTTTACCCGAAGCTTCACCCGCATTCTCAACTAAAAGTGTTAATGTAGTTTCTCGTGGGAATTATATATTTTTAGAAATACAATACAATAATACTATTAAATAATAGTATTAGTATGCATTTACAGATAATATAATATGTGATACGTGCTGTATAATTGAAATATTTTTAATTAACAACCATAATGTTAACTATCACTATTTTTTTGTGTTAACGTTTTGTATTTCTTTTCCATACATAATCGATGATAGCCTAAGGGGCTATTCCAGCCACTCAAGGACTGGTAGGCTGAACCCTAAAGAATTCAGTTGCATTCGTAGTTTCGTACCTCTTGTCGCATTCTTTGTACCACCAAGCTCCGCCGTGCTCCTGAGCGCAAGAGCCATCTTTCCATTCGTCGTTGTCCACATCAAAGGTAGAAAACTTTTGACCAGCGTGATATGACAGTGAATCTCCTGTAATGGCGTTTATTTATAATAATATTTTATTAAGGTAGGTATTACAAGGAGAAAACGGTAACCTATTACTTAATATTATAATTTGTGACAATACATTAGGAATATTTCCCGCCAAGATAGTGTTTTTTTTTATTGCTTAGATGGGTGGACGAGCTCACAGCCCACCTGGTGTTAAGTGGTTACTGGAGCCCATAGACATCCACAACGTAGACGCGCCACCCACCTGGAGATACAAGTTCTAAAGTCTCAGTATAGTTACAACGGCTGCCCCACCCTTCAACCCGAAACGCATTACTGCTTCACGGCAGAAATAGGCAGGGCGGTGGTAGCTATCCGCGCGGACTCACAAGTGGTCCTACCACCAGTAATTACGCAAATTATAATTTTGCGGGTTTGATTTTAATTACACAATGTTATTCCTTCACCGTGAAAGTCAATCGTGAACATTTTTTGAGTACGTATTTCATTAGAAAAATTGGTACCCGCCTGCGGGATTCGAACATCGGTGCATCGCTACATAGAATGCACTATTTTACTATAAAAATATAGTGACAAAGGTTAAAAAATAGAAGAAAACAAGACCAGCCAATTAATACTCTGTTTGGTCATTGAAGATGTTTTTGTTCGAACTTTAGCAGAAAGAAAAATTCATATGTCAGAATTCACGCATTGAGGCTTCAAGGCCCACATTGATATCTATACCTGCTGTTCCATAGTATGTTCCAAGTGTGCTAATCCGGTAGCCTTCCTCTTCAGGTCCCACAGTAAAAACAGAATAACTTGCAAACACTTCTGGTCCGTTTTGAGCTTCTAATTCTATTCGTAGTTCATACAGTTTTTGGTTCGTCAGAAAACTGACCTTTTCTAGTCCAAGCCAAAATTCCCCGGCTAAGTTACCGAAACCGTTCACATAATCTGACCATCCTTTGTAGAAATCTTGTGATCCATCGAAACGATTTTGGAACACCTAAAATGGTGTTGACTGATTAAAATCTTGGTAGTGAATACGTTGATGAATTTATATGATTAAGGGTCAAGGGCACATATTGTTTATTGGCATCACCTCACAGCTACCGCGCGCACTGCGGCGCTTCAGCCCACTGAGTTTCTCGCCGGATCTTCTCAGTGGGTCGCGTTTCCGATCCGGTGGTAGATTCTGCGAAGCACTGCTCTTGCTAGGGTCAGTGTTAGCACCACTTCGGTTTGAGCCCCGTGAGCTCACCTACTAGTAATGGTTACGCTGAAATAGCCTCTCAAGGCTATCAGCTTAGGTAGGGAAAAAAAAGCGGCGCTTCCTTCTACAATATATCGTCGCCTTAGTCCAACCTTCACCCGGTTTTACTCTTGCACACCGTTAAAGGTGAAGAAGCGACGTTGTTCGCAAAAAAAGGTGTAAGAAGAACCGAATAAAAATAAATATACAATTCACACGCGATAGAAGTGCTACTTCTTAAATTATTATATCTCATTTTCTCGCAGAGCTGAAATATGTTTTTCATTAGATATGTCTCTTTTTAAAATTCGAATGATTAATAAAAAGAAGAAGTGTTAAAGAAGTTTTAATTTCGAAATATCGCGGGTACCGGAGCCTGTTGAAACTCCAATTTGAATATGCTGTTCATCTCAAAGCATCAAGTTCCACATTTCTCCCGACCAATCTAACTCTTGTGAGACACCGCAACCAGCCCTAGTTGGCGCCACGAACACTGGGCCGTTCGGTTGGTGGGCTATCCGAACGGTGTCTCTAACTTGTATGTACCCTCCTAATACATAAGAAAAAGAGCAGTTTCAACCTTGACCATACTTACTGTCCAACCTCCGCCAGCAGTCGAAAGGTCACAAAGTACATAAAATGAGTCCATATCATCCGGTTTTATTTTATAAATTCCGGAAACATTAAATCCTTGCATTTGTATCTCGAAGCAATCTGTTGGATACCTTTCTGATCGATCCACTCGTTCAGACCTGCGTGTGAGGATTTTTAATAAAAATCGATCAATCTCTGAGACTCTGATGCTTCGTGTGTATGTGTAAACAAACATAAATAAGAAAGAACTTGATCAGATAGATTTAATTTTACTTTTCTATAGTTTAGTAATTTGTTCGAATGGTTCAAAATGGATCGTGGTACCAATCACCTAATTAATTTATCACATAACGAAGTTTACATATGTACTATTATTTTTGTTAGGCTACAAACCCGATATAATAAATTTCACTAACCTACAATCACACTTCCTTGTTTTATGTTCACGCAGACTTTTCCTGAATTCGCTTATAATTGATATTGCCTCTCGTGAACTAGGATGTACCATATCAGATCTGTGAACAGTACTAAATGTATTTATTTGCGTAATTGAAAAATGTTTCTTGTAAACAACAACGAAACGTTCACAAATTGCATATTATTGCTAAAGCTTATTGCTAAGTCGTAAATGAAATGAAAATCACTCAATTTTACTGGGGATACGGGTACTTAACCTATATTTAGGAACGGCTTTCAGGGTGAAGAAGAAATATCGTTGGTTAAATATGTATGAAGTAACAACAGTAACTGGCATATTGTTAGCTCACACGTCTAGCTGCCACAAGCCTATTTCTCCTATTTCTACCAAAAAAAGAGACATTCGTTCTTATTTTAATGGTGGGAAAGTTAATATAATCGAGTCTCGATGACATCAACTTACCTGGCCAATGGCTTAGTATACTGACGATTCTTCACCTCCGAAATTACCGTCAATATTGATTCAACGCCAGACAATATGCTTTTCGTGTTACTTTCCAAAACGGATAATTTTGTATCTAAGGACGGATCTGTTTGGTACTCAGTACCTGAAACTATAAAAAAGTCGTGAATTTTGTCTGTAAAACATTGCCCAAAACTGCATATTAAAACAAAGTAATTCTATGTCTATGTAGCGATGACGACCCTGACTAATGCGCCACATCGTTCGGGTTCTAGGTATACCCGACAAAAGTATCTTCGTAGATACTTTTTTAATATTCAGTTTGGAATTACTAGATAGTACCTCGTATACATATATATTTATAGTTTCAAATACCCATAAGACAACAGATAATGCTGGCTCGAGACCGTTCAAATGATAATTAATTTAGCAATAGATTTAAATTGTTACTTTGTAACATTTTACCAGCGTTGTTCGACCGCGGAGTCATCTGAAGACTGTATTTTATTTGACTCACGTCCGATTTTATCGTTTCCAAAATAGTTTCAAACTTATCCCCGTAGGCGTCGGAGTTGACGGCTTTCATAATTTCGCCCAACTGTTTAGCGATACTGTTCGTTTTTTCGTGAATTTCTATATCAAGTCTATTAAGTCTAAAATCTATGCTTTCAACTTTTTTAAAATACTTTTCGCTCGATGTGATCGTTTCCATAAGCTTCTCAATGACGGCTTCGTTATCACCTATTCCTGGAGATTGTGGAACTCGCGTCACATTATCACGTCTACGTGACGAGAGCATGGCGTCTGTTAATTCTTTTTCGTATTCTTCTTTCCACAATGTTTTATCCTCGTGATTGTTTTTTCGTCTTCCTCTCTTATCTCTGTTCACCTCCAGATGAGCACAGGTTAGAGTTAAAAGAACAATATAAAGCAGTATAAGAGAACGGTTCATTTTTGTACAGATATTATAATATACAAGAAGGTGTTTTACACAAGTTGATTGCACGACAACTGTCTCTGGATTTGGTCACGATATCTCAGTCGTATAAGTTTACAAAACTGAAAAATAACTAAACAAAAACATCGGTGGCATACTTCTGTCGTGAATCGGTCTTCGTGGGTGATTCGCACAGATATTTCTCGCGGTTCAATAAACAATGGACAGTTTTATAAATCAACTTTAATAATATTTATAAACAATTATTGAATAGCCTCCAATCACATTTAAATTAGCCCGTCTGTGTATCGTAAAGGTCAGAGAGTTTTCTACTATGACAATGTTAAGAAAATTCATGATATAAGTTAATAATGTAAAAGTCATAAGAATAACTGTGAACGAAAATCGGATGCATTGAATTTGAAATTTAAAAAATCGTAAGCGTTTGTGTTATTATTTTATTTACCAAAAACTTAAAGCCAAATCAAGTACAATTGACTTTTTATATACGTAGAACATAAAGAAATGAAAATTTGTGCATTATCTTATAAAAAATCTGCCCAAGAAAATGCCATCAAAATTTTAATTTGATACGTGGGTGGGTGTACCGTGTACTGGTAATGACCTAAATTTAAAACAAAGCTTAGTGAAATTTTACTGGTGATAGTACGTGGGTCCGTACGACTAGGTACCACCACCACTCAGCCTATTTCTACCATTTCTACCGTGAAGCAGTAATGCGATTCGGTTTAAAGGATGCCCGTTGTACTGTAAAAACTGAAATTTATGGTATGGTATTTAAATGATTAATGTCTATCGGCTTTGGTATTCACTTTAACAGCAGGTGGGCCGTAAGCTCATTCACTCATCTAATCAAAAAAAGTAATCCCGAACATATGCACATTTTGAAGATAAAAAAAGACTAGAATGTTCCTTAAAAAGTTATCTAGGTAACAGAATCCCAAATAAGCCTTTCAATTCAATCCTCTCCTCCTTGCGTCTGTTTCCTCATTACTGAGGGTCCTGGTCATGGCCTTGAAACAGTTTGTTTTTTATAATGCACCGCCATCTGTTCCTATCTGCAGCTGAGTGCAGAGCATTGTGCATTGTGGTATCAAGGGCTGCACAAATCTGGTCCGTCCAATGGGTCGGGTTCCTGCCTCTAGGTCGCTTGCCCTCGACCTTTCCAGTGACCACCAATTTCTCCAAGTTGTTATTGTCTTTCCTTGCAATATGGCCAAAGTATTCAAGAATTCTTCGCAGGCAAATGGTGGAGAATCTAGTCCGGATCTTGAGCTGAGCTAGGATGGATACGTAGGTGCGGCGTTTGGTCTAGGGAATACCCAACATCCTCCTCCAGCACCACATTTCGAAGGCATCAATCCCATTGCGGTCAGCTTTCTTTATAGTCCATGTCTCTACTCCGTATATGAATATTGAAAACACTAGTGTGCGGACTAGGTTGCTCTTGGTGTTGATAGATATATTTTTGTCCTTTCATATTTTGACCAGCTGAGACATGGCACCTTTTGCCATCCCAATCCGTCTGCGAATTCACAAGAGCCATTGTTGCTGATGTTGGAGACCAGGTAAACAAAGTTGTCCGTTACTTCTAAATTAAGTGTACCACTGAGCTCTGTCTGCCTCTGCGATCAACGATCATGACCTTTGTTTTAGATCTGTTTATCGCGAGTCCGAGGTCTTTGCTAATGCGCTCCATCCTGTCCAAAAACCTGCCCATCTCGATTTCGCTGGCTGCCAAGAGAGTGGTGTCGTCAGCGTAGCGTAAGTTGGAGATTTTACAACCTCCGACGGTAATGCCACCATCCCAACCATCGCATGTTTTCGTGACGATGTATTCGCCGTAAATATTGAACAGGATGCAGCCCTGCCGCACGCCCTTGTGAAATTTGAACGAGTCAGCCGCAGTCCTATCGACTATTATAATTATTGCTTCCTAACAATAATAATAAGGCGACCCGACTATTTCGGAAATTTGAAGTTCGACATCCCCGGTCAAAGGTACAGGGGAAGCCCCAAGACAAGGTGGTGAGATGTAATGTTGAAGGACAAGAAGGAACGATTCACTGGATGAACGAAGGTCCACTGTTACTGACGTGTAAGACAAAGTTAAATTGGAGGAGAAAAATGAAGAAAACTGACTTCATCACTACTTGGGATGAATAGCTAGGAAGAGAGAGAGAGAGAGAGAGAGAGAGATCACTGATTCCTAATGCCGTTCGATCCAAAAGGAAAACGATCCAAAACAGGACAAGATCCAAAATAGAAAATGGCTGCTCAGATTGTTCTCGAGTTTTATCTCTCTTGGGCTGTTGAATCTTCTAGATCAGTGATCGGAAACTCGCAGCTCATGAGGCGCATGCGGCTCTTTGATTCCTCGGCTATGACTTTTCCAATAAATTCTTATTTCAGATACAAAATATTATGTTACTCATTATCTTGCCTTGTAAGAGACGAGTAGGTAAACCTTTTTGTCACACAAGGCCGTAAATGTTAAAAAAAATGGATCTCAATAAATTTCTACCGTGTATTTGGCTCTTTTGGTTAACCCACAGACACAGACCACTGAGTTTCCGATCCGATGTTATATTCTGCGAGGCACGGCTCTTGCTAGGTTTCGTCTTAGCAACAACGTCAGGTTTGAGCCCCGTGAGCTCACCTACTCGCCCGGCGACGCTGATATGGTCTCTCAAGAAGTCAAGAGCCTCAGTTTAGGTAGGCAAAAAAAATGCTGACAAGAGCGGTTGGTGTATCGCGTCTGGACCGGATAGGCTGATTCTGACCCAACGAGGTTTCCCGGGACACCAGCGGCACTGCCTGAGTGGCATGACAAGCAGTACGGATGTAAATAATGTTCCAGAGCTTTCGTTTCGCCGTTCCGTCAGCCGGACAGCCTTGAGGTAAGCCGCGCGTCTGGTTGCAGTGTTAATCGCGGTAACTCCTTACCACGACAGAATTTTGACCTTGGGGGGGATCGGACGTTTGAACGAAAATGTAGGAGAGTCTTTTGGGAGTTATCGTCGTGGGTAGAGTCATAAATAACAATTTTGAGCCCGCGATCCGCCCCCAACATCTGCGAACTTTTCAGTCCCACATACCCAGCGCGCCTCCTAACGCGGCGAAATTGCAAAAAAACCGGCCCCGACCCAGAAAAACAAAGGGCAGTAAAATAAAAAAATGAATACTGAAATGTAAAAATCTATCGTTTAAAAAATTCATAAAAGATTCACAACATCACGCGCGAACGGCTGGATCGATTGCGCTAATTCTTTTTTTGTTGTGTTTTTTACTGCCACGAGAAGGTTCTTATGAAAGAAAAAAATAAGAAAATTGTGTGGGAAATTATGAATTCAGAATTTCACAGTTCACGGAAAATCGTTGCTATTGGACCAATAAACGTTGTGTGCCAATATTGCAAGACATTTGAATATAAAAATGATAGAAGCTCCTGGATAGCGTTATGCGAGCGTTCAAGTCATATTGACGCAATTGGCACCGCCACCGGAGCCACTACATTCATTGGTTTGGAAATGGACATTCATTGGAAATGGACCAGATTCTAAACATTTTTGACTCATGCAGCAATACAATAATTGATTTTAAATGACGTCATTTGGAGCTACAAAAGCTATTCAAGACAATGCCAATTTTCAAGATAAGTAAGTATATTGAAAAACAATGAACTGTTACCAGCACCTGTCTGTAGCAAAATAGTTGTCAGGCTTTAATTGAAATGGTGTATCAATTGAAAGGGCGTAAAGTACATTTGTAGCTCTACAAATTGCCAGAAGCAGCCAGAAATTACTTGGCAACAGATAGAGGATAGGGGAATGGTAGTGTTGACAAAGTATTTTCAGAGCCACGTGGTAGAACCTAATGGTGGTACTACAAATAATCCGCTATACAATATCCTATAATACATCATTTTCAGGATCAGATTTGTATAAAAGAAAATTCAATAAAATCAATAATCCCCGAAGCGAAGCGAGGGCGAGTCGCTAGTAATTAATAATCTATAACTTAACTATAAAATATCTATATATTATTTTCAACCTTTTCTGCTTATTCGCTCGTAATTATTGTAGAAAATCCACTTATATGACCTATTAACGTTAAATGTCAACATCTCCATCTCCATCTATACCACAGTCCCAACTCGTACTGTAGAAAAGATAATTTCCTATTATTTTGAACGAATTCATTTTCGTATAGTGTATTTTGCGAGATCCTTTCATAGTTGAACCAAACCGAAAACGGTGGAACGAGAGATCAGATCCCAAGCGCTATTAAATGTCAAACTCGAAATGAAATGAATGATTAAGAAGAGTATTGATATTTATGTATAGTAGAAATAAATATATCTAAATACTTATTTAGTATATTTAAAATGTATGTACATAAATCTTACCGCGCATCACTGTGTTATCTTCAAGTCGTTGACGCATAGTTTTCTTTAACTTTTCCAAATCGAATTTTAGATTTTTAAGTGAGTCTTCTATGAAATGTACAGATGTCGTTTTTGTAGCTTTTAAAATCTCAGAAAGAGATTTATTAATACCCTTCATTCTTTCATTTATAGTAGTATCCAAATGATTCAGCTTTCGCTCTATGGTTTCTATCATTTTTAAATACTTTTCGCTAGCCATGAGAGTTTCCACAAATTTCTCGACAACCGCATCGGTGATGGCTGTTCTGCCGGTAGTAGAAGGGAAATGATCCCGAAAATTTATTTTATTAAAATCATATATTTCGTTCTCGGCTTGAATTCGTTGTAATTTTTGGATGTTTTCTTTTTTGGCGAATGTTGGGTACAAAAGAGTAAAAAAGATTAAAATGTATTGAGATATCATCATGCCAACAGTATCTTGACACGACTGTAATGTTTCATAAAGAACTATTATAATATGTACTTTTTACACCCTCAAGACAATTTAATAAAACATTAAAGTCCATTGTGAATTAACAATGCATGTTTTAAGTACACATAGCCAACCTTTCAATGAATAAAATTTTAAATATTGCTCTTATTATACTAGTACATGACACAGCTCTCATCATGACCTCGTGTGTCAGTGAGTACTTGTGCCATTTAGTTTCGTTAACACTAATTTTTTAAGTGTACATAAAAAGCGTATTGAAAATATTTTTAGGTGGGTAATACGAATATATTGTGTTTAAACTATGATAAAATCACGAAGTCGATATAATCGTGAAACTAGACTAGGTTACATTTAAATTTGGTCTAGTAATTATTATATCTATTATGTCTTCGCCTGGGGGCACCTTGCTGTGTTCAGCATCACTGCCAGTGTGGCAACATTGTCGACCGCTTTGGTTACCTTTTTTTTATGATTGAAAGATTACTGGTAGCCCGGAGGCCTTTCCAGTTTCACCAAGACATGTGGGTGAGCAAAGGCTCAGCCAGGAGGGGTGGGATTTGCTAACAACTACCCGAGCGCCTCCAAAGGAGACCTAACAACTCAGTAGCAATTGCTTCGCGAATGAATCTACTACCGGATCGGAATCGCGACCCACTGAGAAGATCCGGCGCGAAACTCAGTAGGCTGATGCATGGGTTAGGTTGCACGTCGACCTCTTTGTCGAGTTCGACGAGTACGGTTACCGGGGTCCCAAAGCCTGCATAACATTGCTGTGCTTTTCGCTGGGTTGATGTCTATGCGCCATTTTCTGAACCATTGTCCGAGGGTTAGCGCTGCGCTCTGGAGCTTACTCGCGATTAGGGACTTTTTTCTACTTGAGTAGTAAACGGTTGTGTCGTCAGCAAATAAGGCTAGCTGGGTCAGCGGCGACCGGGGAATATCGTTAATAAATAAACTAAATAGGAGCGGATCTTTGGTTACCACGGGCTCTCATGTGCGAAAAACGCTGGCAGAATATCCCGCCACGCCAGCATAAATGACATCATCCGTCGGGCCCTTGTCAGCGCCGGCGTACCAGCCATTCTAGAACCGAAGGGTTTGGTGCGAGGCAATGGTAAGAGACCAGACGGTATGTCGATTATTCCCTGGAAGATGGGTCGGTCGCTCGTTTGGGATACGACTTGTGTAGATACCATGGCACCGACACATCTTCCTGCGACTAATTCTAACGCTGGCAGCGCAGCTTCAAAGGCTGAAGGCCTCAAACGGCGGAAATATGAAAATCTTTCTAAAGATTTCATTTTTGTTCCATTTTGGGGTAGAAACTATGGGCCCCTGGGGTTCATCTGCTAAAAGCTTTTTTAAGGACCTTAAAAAAACTATTTGAAGCCTCGGGAGACCAGAAGGCCGGTACCTACGTATTTTGCTCAAAGAATTAGCTTTGCTATCCAGCGTGGAAATGCTGCCAGCCTTCTGGGAACGCTGCCAACTGGTGGTGAGCTAACACAGATTTTCTATTTACAAGTAAGTAGCTTTATCTACCGTTTAAAACCTTCTTTATAATTTAAATGTATCTAAAAAGAATAATAGACCGCTATTACAAATTGGTTTTTGTCAAGTTGCAATTCGCACTTACTAGCTTACATAAGTTCTCTCTATGTACTCTATTGCACTTTCGCATATTCTTAAAAACGCAGCGCACAAACATTGTTTTTTGAAACTTTCTCGCCGGTTTCCCAGTTAACGTAGAAAAAACCGAAGCATTAACGATGATGCATAACGAAATATGCTCCTCCTTTTTGTCGGACAGTGGCCCTGATACGAGCTGTCTGCGTCTAGGTGGCGCGAACGCTACATACGATTTTACGGTCTGCAGGTGTTGTGAGCAGTTCGCGGGCACATGGGTGTTTTATGGCCCTTCCCACCAAACGAATTCCCTTGCACTCTCTAACTCGACGCCGCGCCGGCTTCTACGGTACGGCGGTCCTACCATGCCGCAGAGGCGATGCCGCTGGTGTTCCGGGATACCCTGCTGGGCCAGAAACAACCTGTCGGGTCGGAACACGATACACCGCCGACCGGGTTTGTCTTCCACAGTATGCTCGGCGACGACAGCGATGACGACAATGCGGACCGCACCGCAGGCCGCAGTCGCCGACGTGTCGTCCCATCCTCGTGGTGACAGCGTGCTAGAGTGACAGTATCGTGCGGCGCAGCCTCAAACCCTTAGGTCGTCCCGTGACCATCACCGGGAGGAGACTGCCTCCTCACAGGGCAGGAGTTGGACCGAGCATCATGCCGAGCGTCACGACGGTCGGAAGCGACAAGTCCTATTTTTGCAATAAGGATGGTCAGGATGTGGCGCTAAAGCGGGGCAGTATGTGAGCGGGTGCTCCGCCGTGTCCTCGTTGCAGCCACTGCAATGGTTGCACTTCAGCGTTGGCTCCCTCCAGGCGATATACCTAATACCTACGTTTATTAAATTAACTAAACTTAACTCTTTTATCTATTTCTAGGCCTTCCAACCAAACATAAGCCATCTCTACCATTTATGTCTCAAAAATGCTAATTTCATTGGAAAATGCGTTCTTAAAATTTTAATGCACTTGACTTGTTATGCCGTGAAACGTATTAATCACTTTATAGTTATATAAGAAAACTCGGAGCCAGATGTTCACTTTGACAGGGTTTTCGAACAAATTGTATCATCAACCTAGGGAAGAATTCTAGTAGGTATATATACTAGTGAATATAGTGATGATAATAAATATGAAGATGATTTAGGTTAAACACCATTGTGTTAGTAATAAAAAAATGTGAGCCTTCACGGGACGCCTCGCAGATTTGAAACATCGACATTATTTTGTAAAAGTAATATGCAGAAAAGAACAGATTGTGATAGGAACTAAATATGTCATAATGATAAAATAAAATATTACGAAACAATAATTTGTTTTCAAGTAAAACACAGGTTATGTGTACTGTAGTAAACAACACTGTATACACTACGGAGTATACACTATAGGTATCCGAGCTCAGTGTAGCGAGAGAAACGGCTTAACGCCGGATCGAGTGGGAGAGAATCGCACAGTCGATTGCGCATGGCGACGCGTCGCCACACCGTACACACTACTACATAATTATAGACTGTATATATATCATCATATAGCGTGGCCACGGCATGCGTCGCCACGCCAGAAATTGGTTTTACGAGCGGCTATAGATGTTTCACATCAAAAACTTAAAATTATTATTACTCATTTCAATTCACCCTAAGAGCTCACTCACATTAATGATTTCGATTCGCTCTTACATATTTACCGTTAAATAAGACTGATTGATCGATTATAAATTGAGATGAGTTGAAATTATCGTCGTTGGATGGTTTTCCTAATCTTAATGATGTCATTAATTTAATAAAAAAATGTATTGTTGTCAATAATCAGACCACAGAGATAAACAATGCAACCATCGATTCCAAGTTCCGTATAGCGACGACGATCCAAAAGGTTCGTTAATGACTATTACTACCACAGAAATAATACATTACTGCGCACACAATCCCTGTTTTCCAAATACAGCACAAGAGCGCATTATGCGGCATAATGCTCAACGTTGAATGTTTCAACTACAGCAACGCTTCGCACAATCGAGTCGGTATCGATTGCGAGTATCACGCGAGAGCATTACTTTTGAGAGTGCTCGATATTAGATAGCTCGATATATAGACGCATAATGCGCTCTTGTGCTGTAATTGGAAAACAGGGTACCTATGTTCCTCATCCTTTACTAAATCTATCAAAATTATCATCCTAAATTTGACAGTCTGACCCAATGAAGTAGGAAACCTATGGAAATGAAACGTCAACCAAAATTTCGTGCCACTGTGACGTCATCTGGCCACAAAACATGGCGGCTTTAGTGCTGTACAAAAGATTTCAATGTTATCAGGTTTTATCGATAAACGTTCTTGGCTTATTTTATTTTAAATATTGTTGAGTATTATTTATTTGTAGAATTTATACTTTAATGGGAAGTATTTAGGTATATTGTTATGTGCAAATATGATATGATTTAGATGGGTGAAATCTAAGACAAGTTCGTTCTTCGAATTTGCCAAGTAAACGATATGATGATTTTTAAAAGTTGCTACACTGATTTTATAAAGTTGTCGTTTGTCGCAAAACATAAAGATATGGCGTAGTTCAAAGCCATCAGCCCATTTCTAGCATGCTAAATGTTATCGTATTTTGAGTACGTGTTTTTCTTAGACTATTACAATCTATTTTAATTGTTTTGCTGACTCTAAAGTCCGTAACATACTACCGCAGCGCACCCCAAGGAAGGTGCGCCGCACCATTTGAATCACTTTCGCTTGAGAGTGATTCAAATTTTAAACTTATCAAGGGACCGCGTGAAAAAAAAAACACCTACAGAACATTTATTCATTAATTACAAACGTCATTCCTTGTGACTTCCTCTCTAAAATCACTTAATTATTAAATATTTAACAAATTTACAATAGTGTTTTACTCACTGCGGAATAAAACTATTTTATTTAAATAGTTCCGAAGAGATTTTGTCGGTAGCCTTTTTCCCGAAATATCTAAACAGAATGTCTAAATATGTTTTGATGACATATTTTAAAGTGGTATTTATGATTAGTGTCATGATCAATAGATTCCGACCGAAAAATGGATTTTTCGGATGAGGGCTCCATAATGAATTTAAATACATATAGATAATAGTTTTAGGGCATCGACTTTCTTGAGATCCTATAAAATACGTTTTAATTATTATTTTTGTATGTTTTAAGCATGATAAATTATGAAATTTTATATAATCAATCATATTAAATCGATATCAAAGTCAATAAATAATGTACAACCCAAAACAGACGGCCGAACTGACGTGACAATGACATTTGGCGCGCTAAACATGGCGGATTTTCGGCCTCATTAGACGGAGACGGAGATATTTACGTATATTCATGTTTCATTTTATGTACGCACTGAAATACTGTTATATTGTTTTCCTGCGAGTTAAAGTGCTGAGTAAGAACGAGATAGATATATGTTTATGTATGTGCCTTCAAAATGGGTGCTATTTATATAAGCAATTGTACGTATAGAACAATATGTCGTGTCCCTACTATATAGGTCTATGGTCTGACCATTATCTTTTTGTCTATGGTGTAGTTTAAAACTGACTTAAAAATGGAAGAGCACAGATAATAAAATTGTGAAAACAAAAATTAATTTATAATTTTAAACATTAGAGAAGCACTACGTAGAAAATAAAACATACTTTTAAATACAGATACAGTTCTAAATTGTAAGACCATTTCATTTAAAATTTAATGGTTAATTCTGAATTAATAATAAGTATTTCTAAAAATCTTATGTTATCAGTTAACTCAAATAAAATTTTTAAATCATTGATAATACACGTACTTAAAATCTACATAAGTGAATCTTTGACCATAGTCCGAAGGTCGTGACAAGTCTTAAATTTGATCATATTATTATTTAAGTCGGAAAAATGTTTAAGGTTAGTGTGAAATTGTTAATTTTTATATTTTAAACCATTTGCTTCACGTTTGAGTATATACAAAGAGACATCTATTGACATTGTTACATTTCTGCAAAGTAAGAAATCAGGGCTAAACTGGTACTAAGGAATATTTATAAGCTTAAAATTGATAACAAATAGCATTAATTTCGTAGCTTTTTTAATATTATACTTAAACTCTTTCCTACTAAACAAACAAACTTAAAAATGACAGATATGTAAATACGCATTACTGACAGATCTGTGGTAATAATTAAATTTGTGTTTATAGGTGATTGGAATATTTTTGTAAAAGTATTTGGAGCCATAGTACAGTACCCCAAAAACTTTTATGATATTTCAGAAAGTTAGCAAATATGTATACCCAATATAGGTTACTACGTGTGATTACGATGCCTGTTACTACGTATTTTTCTGAGATTGTTATTTAAAGTTAACAATAGTTTTCTTCTGTCCTTTGGGTTTTTAACGATCTATAAAGAAGTAGGAATAAGTAAAAACATTGTTAGATTGCTGTAATTATTTTTATGTCACAGGGCCTAGTAGCTTTGGTGACTGGAGGGTCATCAGGATTAGGAAAAGCTACTGCTGAGCTGTTAGTAAAACAAGGGGGCAGAGTTGTTATCTGTGACTTACCCTCAACCAAAGGCCAAAATACTGCTAAAAGCCTTGGCGAGAATGCAGTGTTTGCACCTGTTGATGTGAGTATATTTATTCTTTTTAAGCAAATTATTAAGTACTTTTTAATTATTAAATGTACTGGGAGCAAGGTATATATTGAGTTTGCACTAATCTGTCCTTTTCTGATTTGAAGCATCATTGCATTCTGGTTTGAAGAGGGATAGGAGAAGCACTTGTTAATAATACAATAGAAACTGTCTTCGTTCTCACTGCAATGTCTATGCACTGCAGTAACTACTCATCACCAGATTGGTCACTACTATCATTGGCGACTACTATTGGTACAAAAAAATTAGTATTGTAGATTAAGTTAAAAAAGCGGTGTATGGCGATTACAAGAACCGCAGTGGACAGTCTGAAGAGATATGGAAGAACAGAAGCTTCACCAAAGCTACAAAGATCGGGCTCATGCGAACTCTTGTTTTCCCCATATATTTATATGCTGGGAAGATGTGGACTTGGCAGCAAGTCCAGAAAAAGATGGTGGATGGTATGTGGTGCTGGAGACGAATGCTTGTTATTTCATGGACCGAACTTAGCACCAACGTCTCCATTCTTCAAGAAGTCGGCATTAAGCAGGCTCTTTCGCTGCTTGTGCATGGGCTCATACTATCATTTTTTTTACATATTTCCCGGCGCGGAAATGACTCCCTAGAGCACCTTGTTGTTCAGAGCAATGTGGAGCAAGTCAAGTTGGCAGTTGGCGGTTGTTAGCTTCAGTGTACCGGGCTCACCACAAACTGGGAGAAGTGGCGATTGTTTGTGAGGCGCATAACATCTGCCCACAGTAATAATATTGAATGACGACCATGACCGCTCTGACTACAGTGATATGACAAAGGAGATTGTGGATTGTGTTTAATAATTAGCAGTACAAACACTCAACATTTTCTTGTGCTTTAATTTTTCAAACCTAGACCATTCATTTAAGCTAGCTAGTTAGTTTTTAATTTTTCAAACCTAGACCATTCATTTAAGCTTTTTAGTTTATTTTAAACGATTCTTCTTGTTTTACTCTGCTTTTATACAACAACTTATGGGGTTTTTACTTTAATTCATAAGTGATATCTACTGATCATATTTAAAAATATTAACACACTTACAAAAATAAATGGTTCATATTTCATAACAACAGTTATCAACAGTCTTATCAATAAAAAACATGCTTACATCATAGTAATTGTAAAATATTATGTCAAATAATTGTTTACCTTCAATAATCTTGTACCTTTAAACGAGCAATTCTTGTATATACTTATATAATCTGAATCTCGGAAAAGGCTCCAATGATTTTCATAAAATTTATTATACAGTGGATTTCGGGGGCGATAAATCGATTTGGCTACGATTTATTTTCTGAAAATGTTGTTTTATTCGTGTTTTCAATAATCAACTCTTCCCGACATCTATTGGCGAATAATAATACTATTTTTCTTAATTGAGGGTAACTAACCGCTTTAAAGACACAACAAGTTATCAAAAAAAAAACCGAGCAAAGCTCGGTCATCATCTTGTTAATTTATTAAGAGATGAAATACTTGTTTATCAATAAGGTTGTGATATAGTCAAAACAGACGAAAGTGTGTTGTTCAAATGCAACTCATACTTTTAAGAGTATAACCCATTTTACTGACATTAATGTTGTGATATCTATAATAACCACTGAATGCTAGGTCGATCGTTACCTACCAGTCTACTGGTAGGTACCAGGTCTGTTGCGTTTGTAGAGATGGTTACACTGGTAAACAAATTTCACCCAAGATATATACTCAGTCTCGATGATTATCATTGTAATTTTTTATTTGGTTCAAAGGTAACTTCGGAAGATGATGTGAAGGAGGCTCTACAGATAACTTTAGACAAGTTTGGTCGATTGGATGCTCTTATAAACTGTGCAGGCGTTGCGAGTGCATCAAGAGTTTATAATTTCAAAAAGGAACAACCATTTGATTTGAACATCTTTCAAAACACTATTCAGGTACAACTTTGTACTTGTATACAAACACTTTGATAAAGAGGCATCACCTCAATAAAGCGACACGACACGAGAACCCTCACATCGTGGCCACCAGTAACTACATTCCTGATCCTGCGGACAGAATGGAAAGCAGTCGACATCGCCCCAAACACGTCATTTCGGATCCTCCCGATCTACTAACGGTGCTTTTAGGTAACCCGTCGCTTGCGACGAAGGGCTCGACGAGTAAATTAACCCTCAGACACAGCCCACTGAGTTTCTCGCTGGATCTTCTCAGTGGGTCGCGTTTGCGATCCGGTGATAGATTCTGCGAAGCATGGCTCTTGCTAGGGTTCGTGTTAGCAACGTCATCAGGTTTGAGCTCCGTGAGCTCACCTACTAGTTAAGGCTACGCTGATATAGCCTCTCAAGGCTCTCAGCTTAGGTAGGAAAAAAAATGTGTGCGTGTACTAGTGTACACACGTAAGAAGTGAAACTTATTTTTCGAAAAATGATCTACATGCAACTTTCTAGAAATTGGTTAAATAAAGTTAAATTAGATAAAGTTTAAACAAAAGGATTTTATTATCATAGACATGAATACAAAAAAGATGGCGCGTAACGGAAAAATGTGACGCGTAACCGAAAAATGTGACGGTNCGAAAAATGATCTACATGCAACTTTCTAGAAATTGGTTAAATAAAGTTAAATTAGATAAAGTTTAAACAAAAGGATTTTATTATCATAGACATGAATACAAAAAAGATGGCGCGTAACGGAAAAATGTGACGCGTAACCGAAAAATGTGACGGTAAATTTTTTTCCAACGCCGATAAAGAAGTTTCACTTCAAAAAAAAGTATACAATTTTTTATATTTTCCTTGACTGTCTCTCTGGTAATATTCTTATTTTTCTGTACAGATTTGACTAGTTTAGTGCTCAATGTTTTTAAATAATTGCATTTTAACTTCTAATTTCAAATACTAAGCATAAGAAAGTTTAAAATAGTAAAACTATGATTTGAAAATTACCAAAAATAACTTATAAATGAAGTATTAAAATAATTTACAGGTAAATTTGATAGGAACATTCAATGTTATTCGCTTAGCAGTGGGGCTAATCGGGAAAAATGCACCAGACGCTGACGGACAACGCGGAGTCGTTATCAACACGGCCAGTGTCGCTGCATTTGATGGACAGGTAAAAAACCCACCAAAATTAATTTTGTCAGTGTCATTTATTTTTCTAAAGGCGAGGAATGGTAGATCTATTACTAAAATAAATAATAGTTTCAAAAAACGAACAAAATACGCTTTTATAGAAAATCCAACAAAAAAATAGAAAATAAATTTGAATCAACCTGACGTTTTGAAGGGGATCAAAATCATGTTCAAAGATTCCGTTACAAACATGCATACGTCTGAAGCCAATAAAAGCGTATTAAAAAATACTATTATTATTTCCAAAATAAAATTTTTGGTAGCTAAAAAACGTCTATAAACAAAAAAAAAAGAAACTTAATTGATAAACAGAAGCGGCTGCATTTACGTGGTTATTGTCTAGGAGCTCCGGTAAACTCAACACCGGGTGGGCCGTGAGCTCGTATTACCAATAAAAAATTAGGGAATGTAGCTTAAAAAAATATATTATACCTAGTCAGGTCATAAGTATTGTCACACAGTAAAAACTTTTCTTTTAGAATGCTGGCCACAAAAAAGTTTATTGAATTCGAATTTCGAATTGTTCATGAAAATAAAAATGTATACTTTTAGAATTTTACTCATTTTTAAATATGGAGTGGACGCTTAAAGAAGACCGTGTTGCAGTTATTGCGTTGCATCGTTGCGGTNCTAGTCAGGTCATAAGTATTGTCACACAGTAAAAACTTTTCTTTTAGAATGCTGGCCACAAAAAAGTTTATTGAATTCGAATTTCGAATTGTTCATGAAAATAAAAATGTATACTTTTAGAATTTTACTCATTTTTAAATATGGAGTGGACGCTTAAAGAAGACCGTGTTGCAGTTATTGCGTTGCATCGTTGCGGCTATGCGCCAATTCAAATTTTTAACATACTGAAAATTTTGAATATAACCAAAAGATTCGTTTATCGTACCATCAAACGATACAATGAAGACTCTAGTGTAGATGACAGGTCAAGAAGTGGTCGCCCTCGGTCTGTTAGGGCTCCAGCAGTGATAAAAGCTGTGAAGGCGCGAATTCAAAGAAATCCCAAACGTAAGCAGAAACTGTTGGCCCTTCAGATGGGATTAAGCAGAACCACGGTGAAAAGGGTGTTAAATGAAGACTTAGGGCTTCGAGCATATCGAAGAAAAACAGGACATCGTTTGAATGCTCGTCTAATGGACCTGAGACTGAAGAGATGCCGCGCTTTGTTGAAGCGGTACGCGGGAAAAAAATATCGGGAAATTTGGAGGAAAAGGCGTGCTCAAAGCCTCATCCCAATTTGGAGTCACTCAAGACATCCTTGATTAAGGCAGCCGCCGCTATTGACATGGACCTCGTTCGTGCTGCGATAGACGACTGGCCGCGCAGATTGAAGGCCTGTATTCAAAATCACGGAGGTCATTTTGAATAAACTTTAGTGTCATAAGAATCTATGTTTTGTTAAGTTCATTTTGGTATAGGAATGGTTACATAATGAATAAACTTGTTTCAATTATTTTACATTAAACATGTGACAGAATTTATGACCTGACTAGGTACATTGATATTAATAATCAAAGAGTGAATTTCTACATGAATTTCTATGAAAATCCTGCTATCAGCTATTCTGAAGCTATGCGGGTTTTTTTAAATTCTTTATTAGAGCCATACACCTATTAGGTTAAATCGGCTACTATGCGGGTTTGAATTTTGTTAATGGATTTAATAGTATTAATTTGCAAACGTAAATGTAATTTTCAGATCGGACAGGCAGCTTATTCTGCTTCCAAAGCGGGCGTGGTAGGCATGACATTGCCTCTTGCAAGGGACATGGCCAAACAAGGAATCAGAGTCGTCACTATTGCACCAGGTATACATATTTAATCTGATATATAGTTTGTTATAGTTAGTGTTCAGTTTCCTTCTATGGCGAAGCAGCTATGCGTTGGTTAAAAAGTAGGATATAATACAATTGAAGCTTCCTCATTTTCAAGGTGGGTTGCGAAATGTACATTATGATCACTGTGGGCTCCAGTCACCACTTATCGTTCTGAGGACTGTAATATAAGATCTAAATTTCAAATGTATTGTATAACGGGTGTTCCAACTCTTCAACTGGACCGCATGATTACTTCGCTGCAGAAACAGAGTATCTTTACCACCCTCAGACACAGTCTGCTGAGTTTCTCGCCAGATCTTCTCAGTGGGTCGCGTTTCCGATCCGGTGGTAGATTCTGCGAAGCACGGCTCTTGCTAGGGTTCGTGTTAGCAACGTCGTCAGGTTTGAGCCCCGCGAGCTCACCTACTAGTTAAGGTTACGCTGAAATAGCCTCTCAAGGCTCTCAGCTTGTTAGGAAACAAAAAAACAAAAAAAAGATACTTACCCATGAAGAATTACAGTATGCTCGATCAAAATAATAAGCAATCTTTATTTTCAAAGGATTATTCCGTACACCTATGATGGAACAATTGCCAGAGCCGGCGATCAAAAGCCTGGAAGCGTCGGTGCCATTCCCTTCTAGACTTGGGCATCCTCAAGAGTTTGCATTGCTCGTTCAGAGCATCATTCAGAACCCGATGCTAAACGGCGAAACTATACGATTAGACGGCTCCCTCAGGATGCAGCCTTAAATTTTAAGACTGTGAGTAAGATGTAGAAATTATGTAGTTACAAATTTTTGTTAGTAAATGTTGAAATAAATTTTATACAAAGTTTGACATAGACTATTTGTTTTAATGTAGTTAGTGGTATGTCTCCCTTGGTTTATTGTTGTTTGTAAGACCTTGTAAGATTAAATATCGTAATTTTTCATTGATTGATCCTTATATGTAACTAACTAAGGTTTTATTAACCTTATTTATTGTTTGTGAGATTAAAAGTACTATTCGCTGTAAATCAGATCGGACTTTATAAGTATTTCGAAGTAGGTAATGGGAATTACTGTATTGTAATTAGTACTGGAATTAGTGGTTCTTTTTTTTTTTTAAAGCAAAGACACAATTATTTAAACGAAAATATCATTTATTTCTACAAAAACGTGCGACGGTGCGAACGCATGTCCGTCACCGCGCGCCGGCGTGTACGTGCGTCTCACAATATTTATTGATCACCATCAAATGAATACACTTGCGTTACACACCGCCATACATGTATCTATGATGCAATCTAAAGATAGATCATTGTGTTTACTGTTTTAAACTTAATGACACCTCTAAACGATACATTAAAAATAACTTTAAAGATTTAGCGACAACAATAACTTCACTAATAATTATATTGTATAAAAGACAATGTGAGGTAATGACATGGTACAAATGTGGCCGTGGTATTTTATTTATGGTTGCTCCATTCCAACTGAACTGGTGGACACAGCATAATTCGATTATACAAATGAAGAGACGCGTAATAAATAAATTCTGTAGAGAATGATTCTTAGTGATGTGTCAAGTGATGTGGTGTTTCATATAAACAGCTATAAAATATTTTTTTGGTTCAGTTACGAGAGGAGCAGCCTCATTTTAGTAGCCTTCGTGGCTGAACCGTCGTGGTGAACAAGATATTCCTATACAGGTCGGCCAGGGACCGAGACGCAAGGGTAGAGTTTCGATCGTGGCGCAGAAGGTGCTCAGAGCTATTCCCATCTACCCGCATATTCTAATGTTTTGTACTATGTTCACAATACAAGAATATTAAACCGTGACACGTGAATATTAAACCACCCCGCCTCCCGAGTCGTGTACCCACCACTATCTACAAAATAACATAAATAGCCGTAACATCTATGGTATCAGATTAATATTAAAAATTTCAACATCAAATGCTATATTGCATCGGTAATTAATTGCCAGTCCCACATTTTAGATTCAACGATAACCATTTAAAAAGACCGAATTTAAATTCTGTATACCTCGCCCTAACTATATGTACAATTTATCGAATATAACTAACACGGCTCGCGAAATAAAGTTAGGTGCAACGGAAATTATATAATAAAGGTACTTAAAAATTTACAGCTATTGTGAAACCCTCCAGGCTGAGACCTGTCCATTCGCTCAAATTCACGCCCTCACATAAACTTAACCAAGGGAATACTATACACAGACTAACGTTAACAACATCGATTGAGATTAAAACTAACTTACAGTTAATGAACAACAAAGTGGTTAACATACAAGTAGCGAGGGTATAAGTCGAGGCGCGTCACGTTTCGAATACGTTTTGCGGTTATGGTTATTTTGGAATGTGTGCGACGCGTACGTATTCTTCGACTGTGCTTCGGGTGTAGCGAGGGCCGATGACGTAATGGCCGCTACCACGCGTGCTACCCGCGCGCAACCGAACCTCAGCGGAACGACAGCGCCCTAACTCGTCCATCGCTGCTCGACTGCGCGCCTACTTTACCACTACACGTAACTTATACAACTAGTTGAACTCAAAATGTACAATTTTACATTAGAACACTCGTCGTCGAACATAGAGCCTTAAACATTAAAAATACTTATCGTTTTAAAATCATAAATATAGAAAGTTATGCTTACGTAAAATTTAAAAATACAATACACGTTACAACCTAACCTTAGCCGTACGTAAATGGATTTCGGTTTAAAATGAATCGATTAGATATAAGAGTGAATTCATGAAAACATAAATGAAAAATACATTTACCGATTTAATAACTAATGATAATTATTATAAATTATTGAACACTGGCACCTAACTTACAGAGGGTCATCATCGGTGTGCTATAGTGCCAACAAAAGCTTTGTAGTTTACAATTGCGGGGGGTAAATCAAGTCACATCTGAGCTAACGCTGACCCTATTCATTTTACTTCAATTAATGGCACTCGATTTTTGAACTATACCACATCGTTGAAATACTGAAAACGATATCATCATAGAATCTACATATTGTACGTCTACAAAACTTTTGGAAGATTTGCGAAAGCAATACAACGATAAAGATGAAGCGGGAATACTTAAATTATCAAAATAATACATTTTAACGGTAGGTAGTAAAAATATTGCAAAGTTTACAGTTGATAAAAAATAAAAAAAACTAAATTAAGATTGTGATTGTTGTACGAATTAGGAAGAAAAGGCAGTGTCGCGGATAAAGTTTAGCATTGTTTTGCATCAAATTTATACGGAAGTAGCTTCCGATCAAAAACAGAAATCCTAGTCGCTACATTGGGTTCACTATGAGGCCGGTCTTTTATTGTTTTTTACTGCGGCCACGTCACGGCCGTCTAGTACAGGTTTATAACTGAGTAGAACTGATGAAGTTTGTTAAAGAACGAACACAGCCTAACTAACTACGTCACACCATCACAGATCAGCTTTGCTATAATTGGTAAAGCGTTTAAACGCGCAAAGGGACAAACATTAAAAACATTTATTATTATTATTATTATTATTACAAACAAATTCTATCTACATGTCGATGTCACATAAGCACGAATAGCTTTCAGTAAATATACAATAGTTTTATAGCTGTATTCGTAATCAAATGAAAATAATTAATTCGATCTATTTAATTTGTTACATTTACTGTTATTGATAACCTTATTGTTAGCTGCACCGTGCACGGTTAGTAGTAAATATTTAGTTTATTTTTAAACATACTGTTTAAGAAAAAAACGGATGTTAATACTATGTGGAAATCCTTTTTTTTTGTGTTGATTTTCGTTCGCGGCATCTACTTAATATGTACGGTACGGTACTTTTTTTAACATTTACACTACTTTGTTCAACATTCAAGCGAAATTTATAAATATGGACACTAAAAATAAAATGTTATATATATCACTCGTATCACATTTATTAAAACTCTATAAAATACTATTATTTTTAATCAAAATAATTCATTACATATTTTAAAAAGGTATCTTAAAAACTCTGTGAGGAACTTCATTTTAAAATTTGATAGTAGCTTGAAAATGTTTACATACAATGGGTAACTACGTCCTTTTGTATATTATTTATTCATTGTAAATCATTCCGATCCGCGTTAAAGCAAAATTATGTCGCTGATTATATATAATTATAATGTATTTTTTTATAAGCAAAAGCAAACAGATTTTCTTAATCGTGTCAAAACTAAGACAACTGTGTTCACTGGACGGTATTTAGAATTAACGTGGTGCCATATAATTTGTACATTGATTGTAGAGCTAGTTGAGGAATACTAAATTAAATTTAAAATTCATCACTCGTTAACTAGTCGTTGACGCCTACGTTCGTTTCGCACTTAGTGCGGCCTAATATGACCAAAACAAGTTTTAGATTCACATGAAACACAAAACGACAATCACATAATTTGTTTAACTAAAATAATGAACAGGACACGTGATGTGCACTCTCCTAGCCTATTGCAAAAAGCACACCCTATACTCTGGCTTCTTTAGAACCTATCGTATATCACAAAATGCCGAATACTCTATGTTGCATTGTTTCAATATGATCAAGAGTAAGAGATGTAATCTGTGCAATAGACTTGCTCTACGAGAAAATTGACGACAAAATATTACAAAAATAAAACGTTCTCAAATTAAATTTGCAACGTCCTTCTGAGAATTCTGTACAATGATAACATTAATTATTATGTAAAATTAGTTCCACTTTAAAAGCAGAAAATATTACACTTCTTTCCCATAATAATATGCTATTATAATTAATTGTTAGAAAAATACGAAATTATGTACTTTCAAGTTAACATATTATATATGTTAATAAAGAACAATATGTTTAATATAAAAATACATCATCTCCGTCGGCCGTAAGCCGGTAGACGCTAGTACCCATATATTTAAAAATCTATGATTTTTAAGGCTCTTGCATGTAAATAGAGAAATATTTTACATGATTACAGTATAAGTAGAATTAATCACTGTAAAATGTGCTAAATATGTTATTTACAAGGATAACTTCATTTGTACTGGTACGGCCGATTAATTTTTGATAAAATATTTATGTAACACTCAGATATTTTGAATACATATTTAAGAATTTTTTCATATTTAAAATTTGATTCACTTTTCTAACATTCACTTTTCAAATCTCTTAACACATAATATAATAAATATATAATACATATCTTTAGATATTTCCTAAAATTTAAAAATATGAACCCTCGCTAGAGTTATTATTTATAGTAAAATTAATACGATTTATTAAAGCGAAACCTTTCACTCGTGCTATGTTAACTGTCACACATCTATTCATTCATCAATGTACTATCACATGCATCGCAAATACATGCAAGCTTTAGAACACAACTCGTAAAATTTATCTGTAAAGACATTTATATTTATCGTAACTATGGTGCTCAGATTTTTTTTTTTATATAGAAGTAGTTCAATAATTATAATGAATAATATAATGCGCACGAATGAAATTATACTAACATTTATCGTATAATATTACACATAGTTATCTCTTCTACTAATATTAAAAACTGTTCATCAAATTTCTTCTTTTATAATCACAGACGCTTTCCTAAAATATGTATATGTTACTCTCTGAAGCGAACTAAAGAACAACAGAGAATGTAGTTTACAGAGTGCACTTATACAATTCTGGAGTAATACGACATTGACTGCTAAATAAATTAACAAAGCTACACAAGACTGG